GCCCGGCCGGGAACCGAACCTGGGTCCTCTTCGCTTGCGAGACGAGCGCTCTAACCCCGAGACTGCTTGGACTCCGAAGTTTGCAGAGGCCTGTGTGGGTGTGGGTGTGTGGGTGTGTGTGTGTGTGTGTGGAGTAAAGGAAACTTTCCGGAGGGTTTCCTAAGCCTAATATTATTCTGACGGCTGAATCCCTTCTACCGCAGATCCCGAGAATTTGGTCAATGGAAACCACCCATCGGCATTTACCCCGGACTGTCCGGCTCAGAGCGCCACATCGCGTCCTGCTCACACCACGCTGGTCAGCTCCATCGAGAAGGACCTCCAGGACATCATGGACTCTTTGGCGTTGGAGGATATGGGCTCGACGTCGCCGGTCAAGCTGCCTCCGGCCATGGCCCAGTCGCCTCTGTCTCCGGTGGTGAACGGAGGCATCGGACGCTACCTGCTGTCTCCCCCCATGAGCCCTGGCGGCCTGTCCGCGGGTTCCAGCTACGATAACATGTCTCCGCCGTTCTCTCCCTTGTCCTCGCCGTCCGCCAACAGCAGCGCCGGGAGCTGTACCAGCCAGTCGCCCAGCAACCAGGACCCCGGACCATTACTGCCCCCCACGGTGCCCGTCAGGTCCTCCAGCTACAACCACAACGTGCAGCCTCCGGCCTACAGGCCCGTGCCAGTCTACGCCGGGCCTGGCGTGGATTTGACCCGCTGTAACGGCCTGGTGGGCGGGCAGAGGGTCTCGCTCGAGAGCCCCCGGGCGCTGAGGAAAGCCTCCAGCCCGCACCGCACCCCGCCCAGCCCCACCCCTCACCAACGGGGCCTCTCCCCGGAGGTCGCCGGCCTAATCCCCGAGGCCAGAAAGGTACCGGAAGGCCCGAGGGTCCCACAGCCCGGCCCCGAGCACACGCCGAGAGTGTGCGTCAGCCCGAGCCCCCGGGGTCACGTGACCTCGCTCCCCACCAGCCCCCGACTAGGCCCCAAGGCCCACTCGCCCACCGGCCCCAGGCCGCTGCAGGAAAGGCCCCCGAGCCCATTTTGGGAGGCCAGGGAGAACGCCGGGGAACGTGCCGTCGTCAATGCCAGCCCCTCCCGGCAGCTGCTGTCTCCGGCCCGCGGATTCCAGGTCCCCGGCTCGGTCCCGGGCGAGATTTTCGGCTTTGTTCCCGTCACCCACCCGCCCAGGAGCCTCCATCCGCCGGACAGCCCGCGCCTGGGCAAGCGAGGGCCGAGCGTGGCCACGGAGGGTTGGCGGGAGTTGCCCCCGCTCAGCCCCGCTTCTTCCCGGAGAGCGTTCCCGCCCGGTTCTCCTCAGGCTCGGAACGCGGCCCATCACCAAAACCACCAACGGAACCACCGGCGGGACGGACCCCCGGAAAGCCCGCGGCTTGGGCGCAGGTCCGACCGGCACGAGGACTATCCGTCCCGGGGCTCGGCCAGCTCCGGGTGGGGGGTGCGTGACCGCAGCCCCTCCCCCACCTCTCCCTCTGCCTCCGAGCCGGGGAGGAAGGGTTCAGGGGGAGGGGGAGGCTTCTCGCTGACGCACGGCCACAGCCTGACCTCGTTGACCCTGACCGCTGTGTCCACGCCGCTGGCCAGCCCCAGGACCCCGCGGAGGGCAACCGCGGACAATGGGGGACCGGGACCGGCCCCGGGGGGCCGTCAGAGGAAGAACAGTATCTCGGAGATTAGTGACAACGAGGACGAGCTCCTCCATTATCACCGGCGGCAACGGGAGGAGAGGATCCGCGAGCAGGAGATGGAAAAGCTGGTTAGTACCTCCCCCCCACAAACCCCCTCCACCTCCACACTCTCCTCTTCCCCCCCCCTCCTCTGTCGGCCCCCCCTCCTCTGTTGCCCCCCTCTCTCCCTCCTACCCCCCCCCCCATGGCTTCCTTCTGTGCTGTAGGATTCTATATGGAATGCAAGGATTATTGTTGTGAAGTGACCGTGTATTCTGTTGGTGAAACACATTCTCCCCAAACCCCTCTCCGACTCCCCTCTCTATTCCCTTCAGTATTGTGTATTATATTGAGTTTCCTCATAGATACTTCAGTGCTTATTTCTGCTGCCCCTACCCCCCCTCCTCGCTCCTCGCTCTCTCTCCCCACTCCCCCAACAGTTTCTGGCAGACAGTTCTGCGCCTCCCACCCCCTTTCTCACCTCGCCACCGCACCCCCTCTCTCTCTCTCTCACACACACACACACACTGTGGTGCTGTGACTCTTCCCCCGCGATCGAGCTGTGAGGGGGAGCCTGGATCCGAGCCAGGATATATTATTGTCTCCTTTCCAGCTCTCAGCCTCAGTGATAACACTGACAGAGAATCTCAGTGAGTGTGATAATCGTGCGGGGGATGCGGGGAAGGCACGTTTACTCATTCACTCACACCCCCCACCCCCCCCCCACCACACTCCGCACTGGCTCACTCCTGCTAATCACACAGCCATCCGGGGGAGGAAAGGTTAGAGACAGAGGATTCTTCCAACGTGCGACACGAAGCGATTGAGCTCTCTCAGTCCACTTGTGCATCGTATAGGATCCACTGGCAGAGTTTAGCACAGTTGTGTGTGTCTGTCTGTGCGGGGAATAGAGGTGTGTAGGAGAGGGGAATAGAGGGTTTGGGGAGCAGGGAATGGAGGGCTGGAGCTGCTTCACTGCAAAGTGTGGTGACTGTGCATTTTGTAGGGAAAGTGCAGCGGCCAATTTGCGCACAGCAATGTCCCATAAAGTGTGTCAGTCTCCGCTCAGTATCAGCAGCTGAGTGAGACAGTATTGATCGCTCTCTGTGTTGTCAATCTCCCAATAACAGGAGGGGAAGGGGGGGATATCAGCCAGGACAGTCTCTCCCTTCCCGTCATCCCTTAATATCCCGCAGCCGTCCTTCGGGAGCCTTTGGGAGGCTGGAAAAGTTAGACTTCAAGTCAAATTTTCCCCTGTTTTCTTGCCAGTATAAGAATGATTCATTACGGCGGCCCCCCCCCCCCCCCCCACACACACACACACACACAAAGAAGGCCGATGGAAACTCTCTACATCGTCACGACCTGCGAATTCCCTCATCACAAAGACCCTCTTTGTAAAAGTCTTAAACCAAACGCCCCCGAAGCCTTTAAATTCTCCTCCCCCACCACCATCGCTCTCTCTTGTCGCACAGCGGGGTTGGCGGCAATACATTGCTCACACGCAGTCCAATCTTGGGAGCCCTGTGGCTCAGTGGTGTTAGAGCACTCGCTTCGTAAGTGAGAGGACCCGGGTTCGATTCCTGGGTGGGGCAAAACTTTAGGCAGGTTTCCTTGCTCCACGTGCCTCCGTTTACCCAACAGTAAGCAGCAACACGATTGTTATTGTGGATCCCTTTCCGCGGGTAATAAACCCTTCAAAAAAAAATAAAAAATCCGGTCACTCGATCCACGGCTGTTAACGGCTGTTTGTGGGACGCCGCCGGGCGCAATAGGGCTGCCGTGTTTCGCCCACAAAATAAGTGCTCGCTCCAATTTACAGTGTGTTCCGTGAGGCACTTTTGAGACGCTCAAACTACACGATACGGCGCTGCATCAAATGCAAAGAGTATTATTATTATTATTATTAATCTGCATTTGCGTGGTGTAGCTCTGATGCCACCTGGTGGCCACTGTGGGTACTGGGTTAAAAGGTCTGGGCTGAGCTCCGCAGGCAATTGATGTTCAGTGTAGTGACTGTGCGTGTGAAGGGCCCCCCAGAAGCAGGGAGGCGAACGATCACGCCATCTGGGCGGGGGTGGGGGGTGTTTGTCACCAACAGACGTGAGCCGAGAGCGAGGTTGGCAGTGGCTCACCCGAGCGGGACGGGGGGGGTGGAGGGAGATGGGGTGGGGGGTGGGGGTGGGGGAGACGGGGGGTGGGGGGGGTGGGGGGAGACGGGCGGGGGGGTGGGGGAGGGATCGAGATCAGGTCATGAGTTGGGAGGAATGGAATGGTGTCTGACAGGTGCCCTCGATTGTGTGATCTTAAATATAGACTCCGGGATCCGGTTATTTTGGCCTTTGTGTGTCATTCCGGTTTCCGGTGAGTGTCATTGGGTTTCAGTCTCCCACCCCTTGACTTCGCCCCCACCCCTTGACCTCAACCCTGAGGGAGGGAGGGAGAGGGGAGGGGGAGACGGAGGGGGAGAGAGAGACGGACGCAGAGAGAGAAAGAGACAGAGGGGGAGGGAGAGAGAGAGACGGAGAGAGACAGACAGAGAGACAGAGATCAAAGAGAGAGAGAGAGAGAGCACGAGGAAGAGAAGGGGAAGGAGAAGATGAAATAAAAATAAACAAGTTCCTCTTGGAAGCTGTTGAGACAGACCTGCCCTGGCGGCTGGTGGTGACTGACTCACACGCTGAGTATTTGACCACTTCAAAGCACAGCGCGGGCGGATATAAGCCAACGAGGCCCGGGCTGGTGGCAATGGGTTTATGAGCACAAAGCGTCCGTGGCTGCCCTGATTAGCAGCTCCGTGCAACTCCGGGGCCTCCCCATCCATCAGCAATCAATCTCTGCTGTCAGCTCCCCCCCCACCTCAACCACAGCCAACCCTTCAACAACTTCCCCCACCCCATGGTGTCTGTGCTGGGGGCTCGCTCCCCCACTGGAGCTCTCTGCTCTAACCCCATTCTCTGCTCTCTCTCTCCCCATCATGACTGTGCTGGGGCTCACTCCCCCAATGGAGTGCTCTACTCTAACCCCATTCCCTGCTCTCTCTCTCTCTCTCCATTGTGTCTGTGCTGGGGCTCACTCCACCAATGGAGTGCTCTACTCTAACCCCATTCCCTGCTCTCTCTCTCCCCATGGTGTCTGTGCTGGGGCTCACTCCCCCACTGGAGTTCTCTACTCCAACCCCATTCTCTGCTCTTTCTCTCCCCATCATGACTGTGCTGGGGCTCACTCCCCCGATGGAGTGCTCTACTCTAACCCCATTCCCTGCTCTCTCTCTCTCTCCATGGTGTCTGTGCTGGGGCTCACTCCACCAATGGAGTGCTCTACTCTAACCCCATTCCCTGCTCTCTCTCTCCCCATGGTGTCTGTGCTGGGACTCACTCCCCCACTGGAGCTCTCTACTCCAACCCCATTCTCTGCTCTCTCTCTCCCCATCATGACTGTGCTGGGGCTCACTCCCCCGATGGAGTGGTCTACTCTAACCCCATTCCCTGCTCTCTATCTCTCTCCCCATGGTGTCTGTGCTGGGGCTCACTCCCCCACTGGAGCTCTCTAGTCCAACCCCATTCCCTGCTCTTTCTCTCTCCCCATCATGACTGTGCTGGGGCTCACTCCCCCAATGGAGCTCTCTACTCTAACCCCATTCCCCGCTCTGTCTTGTTCCCTTTAAACATTATGTATCCGCATGAAATGAGCCAATTCCCTCTTAAATGCTGCTGTGGGCTGGGCTTGAAGGGTGACTAGTGGTGAGATTCCTGAATGTCCCCTCCCCTCCCTGGGGTCACCAATGGGGGTCTGCATTTAGAGCTCCCCCCCCCCCCACACCACCGGTGTGGGTTATCTGATGGTGGTGGGGAGGAGAACGCCGAGGCAGTGCGGGGGCTGGTTTGCAGCTTGCGGTGTTGTGAGTCTCTGGGTTGGGAAAGCGGAGGAATGTTAACAGCTGAGAGCGAGAGAGAGAGAGAGAGAGAAAAGGGTGGAGAGGTTACAAATAAGTAACTGGTGATAAGCCTGGGAGGGAGGGAGGGAGCGAGAAAGAACGAAAGAAAGAAAGAGAGAGAGAGAGAGAGAGCGCGAATGTCCAAGTCACTTTGCTGAACCTCCCAGCGCGGCACAGCCCGGCTGAAGGTTAGACACAGACGGGTTGGGCGACGCAGTGTAGTCGTGTTTGACGGACGGACAGACGGACAGACAGACAGACAGACAGACAGACGTGCGTTGTCTTCCCCCCTCTGACCTCAGACACCCCGCTCCAGCACGCGCACGCAGCGCTAACACGTGAGTTTCTCTTCGCCTTTTTTTTAATGCTGTGTGTAAAAGTGCTACCCCCCAACTTCCATCCCCCCCACACACACACACACCCTCCACACACACCCACACACCCCCCTCCACACACACACACGCACCCTCAGACGTGATCTCCCCTCCCTCCTCATCACTATTGGAGCCCAGACTATGAGCTCAACTCGTAAACCTAGAACCAACCCTATGACCCCGAGCGAAAGGCTGAGGCACCCTCACACCTGGTTGATTGTCAGATGGTTTTATTCTAGTTTCCTCTCTCTCTCTCTGCGTCTCTTTTTCTTTCTCTCTCTATCCCTTAACTTCTCTCGCTCTGTCTTCTCTGATGGCATCAGTCTCCGCCTCTTTAAGCGCTCCGAGACGCTGTGTGTAAAGGCAAGTTGTTGTCTCTCTCTCTCTATCTCTCTCTCTCTCTAACGTCTCACTTTGCGGTGGGGGTGGGTGGGTGGGTGGGTGGGGGGGCAGGAGGGGAGACTCTGGGTGCTTTCCAGTACGCTGGGGGTGTAGTAGGAGTTCTTGTTGCCTCTCTTAACTCCCATCACCAGTAATTCCTGTGGGTATCTGTGCCACCGGCTGGAACCTCTAATGGGGTTGTGTGGCTATTCACTGGCAAGTGAGACTGATTAACCCCCACCCTCACACACGATCACACACACTCGCTATCACACACACACACACACTCACAAGGCGCTGGACAGACATACACACCCCCTCTCTCACACTCACACACACACACACACACACACACACAGCTGGTGACCCTTCACAACAGGCACTTGTCTCAGCTGCCGGCTCCCAGGGTAACTGTGGGCACATTCCTGGAATTCCAGGGAGGAGGGAGGGATGGGATTTGCCGGGTCCCGCAGCCGCTTCCCACCGTATGTCGATCCTCATCGCAGAGGACCAGCCCACCCTCGAGTGGCTGAGTGATCGGTAACCTGCGGAATTTCAGGGGTGTAACCGTACAGGGCAGCGCAGACCGGCGCAGCACCGGACTTGTATCGTCAGGCACAGTCCATGTGTGTGTGTGTGTGTGTGCGTGTGACTGTGCGACGTTGTGTGTCAGGTTGTGTGTGTGTGTGTGTGAGAGGGATACTGGAGCTCAGCAGAATGGCCTCCGTTGAGCTGTTACTTTCATAAATAACTGGAGGCGTCACAACAGCCGGTGTGTAACAGGCAGCTGCTCTGTGTGTGTGTCTGTGTGTGTCTGTCTGTGTCTGTGTGTGTCTCTCTCTCTCGCACTCTCTCTGTCTCTCTCACACTCTCTATGTGTGTGTGCGTGTCTCTGTCTCTCTCTCTCTTACACTCTGTGTGTGTGTCTGTCTGTGTGTGTATCTTTCTCTGTGCACTTGTCTCTCTCTCTCTCTCTCTCTGTCTCTCTCACACTCTCTATGTGTGTGTCTCTGTCTCTCTCTCTTACACTCTGTGTGTGTGTGTGTGTGTCTCTCTCTTTCTCTCTCTCCCCTCCTCCCCCTCATATTGTGTGGGTGTGTGTCTCTCTCTCGCACTCTCTCTGTGCGCGTGTCTCTCTGTCTCTCTCACACTGTGTGTGTGTGAGTGTCGCTCTCTCACTGTGTGTGTGTGCCTCTCTTTGTGTGTATGTGTGTGTATCTGTGTGTGTGTGTGTGTGTCGCGCATACCTCCTCCCACTCCCTCTTCGAACCCCTCCAGTCCGGTTTCCGCCCACAGTACAAAGACTGCGCTTGTGAAAGTCACAAGCGACATCCTCTCTATCTGTGACCAGGGCTCTCTCTGCCTCCTTGTCGTCCTGGACCTCTGCCACGTTCAACACAGTCGATCACGCCATCCTCCTCCACCGCCTTTCCTCCGTCATCCACCTCAGTGGGACCGCACTCTCCCGGTTCGAGTCCTACCTCACAAACCGCCAGCAGTACATCGGCACAAACGGCTTCTCCTCCCGCTCTCACCCGGTCACCCAAAGATCCATCCTTGGCCCCTTCCTCTTTCTGATCTACATGCTCCCTCTTGGGATGGCATCCGCAGACATGGGGTACACTTCCACATGTATGCGGATGACACTCAACTCTACTTTTCCGCCTCTCTTTGCGCCCCCCAGTCCCCTGATGTTCTGCCTGTCAGATCTCAGGGGCTGGATGAGCGCAAACTTCCTTCAGCTGAACGTTGACAAGACGGAAGCCATACTCTTCAGCTCTCGTCAACGTCTAAAATCTAACGGTTCTCACCTCCTCCACCTACCCGACCTCCCCCTAAAACTCTCCGAACCTGTACGCAACCTAGTTGTCAGGTTCGACCCCCAATTATCCTTCCTCCACCACATCCGATCCCTCACCAGCACCGCTTTCTTCCACCTCCGACGCATCGCTCGTCTCCGCCAATACCTCGCCCCAAAAGTCGCTGAAAGCCTGGTCCATGCCTTTGTCACCTCCCGGTTGGACTATTCAAACGCCCTCCTCGCCGCTCCATTACCATCCATAAAATCCAACTCATTCAAAACTCTGCCGCCCGCATTCTCACCCGCACGAAACTCCACTCCCCGATCCCCCCAGTCCTGGCCAGACTGCACTGACTCCTGTCCCAGGGAGGATCGAATTCAAGATCCTCACCCTTGTATTCAGGTCCCTGCACTCTCTACACCCCCCGACCTCTCTGACCTCCTCTCTCCTCAGCACAGTACCCGTTGCCTTCGTTCCTCCAGGTCTGGCCTCCTCCTCATCCCCCGAGGCCTCCGCTCCACCCTCGGGGGCCGTGCCTTCAGCCACTGTGCCCCGAGGCTCTGGAATTCCCTTCCCCACTCCCTTCGCCTCTCTTCCCATTTTCAGGTCTCTGCTGAAGATCTTTCTTTTCGACCGCGGCTTTGGTCACCTTCCCCCCTCCCCCCGGCCCCTTCCCCCTCCCCCAGGCCTCCCCCCACTCCCCCCGGCTCGGTCCCGGGATCCGTTACTGTCAAGTGCTCTGAGACGCTGCCCGGCGTGGAGGGCGCTATATAAATCCAAGTTGTTGTTGTCGTGTCTCTCTCTCACCCTCTTCTCTCTCTCTGACAGGAGCGCCAGCGGTTGGAGACTATCCTCAGTCTGTGTGCCGAGTATTCACGTGATGATCCGGGGCTGGAGATGGGACGTGTGACTCAGGGTCCACACTCGTACGTGGAGCCCGACCCTCGGGAACTTTTCGTGGCCTCCAGCCCCCCCGGCTCATACACAGCCCCCCACAGCCCCCAGGAGCGCTCCGACGAGGAGAACCTGAGGGAGGAGTGTAGCAGCACTGAGAGCACGAACCACGAGGTGTGGGACAAGGACCTCGTCTCCCTCCCTCACTCTCACTCCCTCCTTCGCTTCCCTGTCTCTCTCTCCCTCCCTCCTTCCCCCTCTCCTTCCCTTTCTCTCTCCCTCGCTCCTTACCTCCCTCCCTCCTTACCTCGCTCCTTACCTCCCTCCCTCGCTCCTTACCTTCTGTCTGTCTGTCTGTCTGTCTGTCTGTCTGTCTGTCTGTCTGTCTGTCTCTTTCTCTGACAACAAGATTATTTGTATAGTGCCTTTCTCTGTGTGTGTGTGTGTGACCAAGTCACTCTCTCTCTCTGACCCTGTGTGTCTGTGTCTCTCTGACCCTATCTCTCCCTCTCTGACCCTGTGTGTGTGTGTCTCTCTGACCCTCTCTGTCCCGCTTTCGCTGTGTGCAGCAGGAGGAGACGTGTCGGGGCGGTCGGGGTGTGGGGTACCTGGAGGAGGAACGAGTGCGTGTACTGACCTCCGTGGACGAACTCAAGAAAAGGATCAAAGATCTTGAGCAGCAGCTACAGGAGTCTACACGGGAGGTACACACTAACATCAAGTTACATGCCAGCTACACGCTAATACCCTGTTACTCGCTAGCTACACGCTAACACCATGTTTCATACGAAGTACACGCTAACACCCTGTTACATGCCAGCTGCACGCTAACATTTTGTTACACACCAGCTACACACTAATACCATCTTACACACCAACTGTTACTCTCGGGATACATGCTAATTAAATCCATGCCAAATGCAAATAAAGGCTAACTAAATCCATGTTACATATGAGGTACATACTGACTAATGTGGAGTCCTGTAGCTCAGTGGTTAGAGCACTCGCTTTGCAAGTGAGAGACCTGAGTTCAATCCCCGGGGGGTCAGTCAGGGCCAAACCTCGGGCAAGTGTCCTCACTCCACACAGAGCCTAATAATAATCCTCCAAAACCAAAAACAATAATAAATTGGTCATTTTTAATCGACGACTGTTTGTGGGACATTGCTGTGCGCAATTGGCTGCCGCGTTCGCCCACAAATATAGTCAATTCACTTTACAGCATATTCTGTGAAGCGCTTTGAGACGTCCTCCCGACGTGAAAAGCGCTGTATCAAATACAAGGATTATTATTATTATATAATGCCACACGTTACATGTTAACTGGCTCTGTGACATGTCAGCTACACGCCAACCCCATTTCGCAGGCGGTGCTGATTTGCCAGAATGCAGGCGATGTTTCCGGTGCGTTTTTGGGCAGCGGTACAGAGCCCGGAGTGACTGTGTGTGTGTGCGTGTGTGTGTGTGTGTTACAGGCGGAGATGGAGGTTGCGTTGCTGCAAGGGGAGCGGGAGGCAGAGGCTGCACAGATGAGGCAGGAGCAGTCGGTGCTGGAGCAGTTGCGGGACAGACTGTCCGAGCTGGAAAGCAGCGTCCAGGTGGAGAGGGAGAAGGTAAGGTCCAGGCTGTGGCCTGTGGCACCCCCCACCCCCACCCCGGCCTCCGGGCCTTTGCTCTGACAGCCAGCGAGCGAGCGGGAGAGCGAGCGAGCGTTCGGTCACACGGCATCTCCGCCCTCGGCTGTGCTGTGTCGGGCGATTGTAAAGCCAGGAGAACCTTCTCGTGAACACGTGTCGTGGTGACACGGGTGTTGGGGTGACGCGTGTGGTGGCAAGCCGGCATTTTCCCCGAGTGTTTCATGCGTCCAGTCTACACGTGTGTTCGTACAGGTACAAATTGCTGCGTATTTCTCGACGGGATTATCCTCAAGTTGCTCCCAAACGATAAGCTCTGGCCTCCCCCCCCCCCCCCCCCCCACACACACACACGCAACCCCCCCTCCTCACAATGGCTGATGTGTGCTGGGTGTGACAGTAACGGGGAGTGGAGGGGTGGGGGGTGTGGTTGATTGCTAAACTATTGCTGCCACTTGGTTGCCCAAGTGATGGAGCCAATCCACACTGTGTGAGTAGGTCGGTCTCTATCTTTTTCTCTCGTTTCTCTCTCCCTTTCGTTCTCTACCTTGCCTTCCTCTCTATCCCTCTCTCTCTCTCTTTCTCACTCCACCTCTCGATAACCAAACCTTTACCTGTTTTTAAATGTTTTATACGTGTGTTTGTTTAAAGAAAATCCCTCCTTATCTCTTCCCGAGAGTTCCCAATGATATAACCCTTCCCACCCCCACCTCCCACCCCACCTTAACTCTTCCCCCAGAGCAGACTGTAATGAATCTCTGCTATATACAGCCCCCCCCTTCTCCCACCCTCCCACCACTCCCCAAGACCACCGTCAGTGAAACCCACCTATGAGACTCGGGGGTTTACACAATCAGCTGCTGCTTCGTTTCGCCCACAAAACACAGTCACTGCACTTTATGGGTGAAACCTTAGGCAAGTTTCCTTACTCCACCCGCCTCTATTCGCCCAGCAGTGAGTAGGTTGCTGGTCGATTGGCGGATCACTTTTCCAGGGGTAAATGATCCCTCCGCAAATAAATTTGGTCACTCAATCCACGGCTGTTTGTGTGGGGAACGCTGCTGTGCGCAATTGGCCGCCGAGTTTCGCCAACGAGCTGCGCAGTCGGTTCGCTTTACAGTGTATCGTGTGAAGCGCTTTGAGACGTCCCAACGACTTGATAAGGCGCTGCACAAAATGCAAGGGTTATTATGACATTATTCCCCGAGTTCGGGTTAGTTAGTTAGTTATTTATTAGAGAAATCAATGGGGTCAGAGCTCGCCTCGCCCTCGTCTACACAGCGTGTAACGATGCTCTTTCCTGTCAAGTGACTGACAGACGACTGTTGTTATAGCCGCCGCTATTTCCCCCTCCGCCCTCGACACACTCACATTATCACACTCGACTCCTTTGTATACCTTTTGTATAGAGTTCAGTTCTAACAGCATGTGGATAGACACAGAGAGAGAGAGAGAGAGAGAGAGAGGAGAGAAAGAACTACAGACAATAAGCATCAAAGCCGTAAAAATAATAAGAACTTACTGGTCAATTCCGCCCACACTGAGCGAAAAACTAAATTAAGAGGTTTCACTGACCCCACTCATCTCTCCTGCTCACCTCCTCCCTTTCCCCCTCCTCCCTCTCTCCTCTCTCTCTCTCTCTCTCTCTCTCTCGCTCCTCTCCCATCTCCATCTCCTCCTCTCCTCCTGACCGCCCATTGACTTGTGGCCAGGAAGGGATAAGGAAGGTGGAGTGACTGAGGTGCCTCAGGCCTTTGGGATTCTCTTTAACTTTGTGGCGACTAATTTTTCTCTAATTCTCTGCCAGGCCTCCCCCCCCCCCCCCCACCCCCCCCTTCTCTCGCTCTCCCACCCCCTTCCCTCGCTCTCTCCCCCACCCTTCCCTCGCTCTCTCCCCCACCCTTCCCTCGCTCTCTCCCCCACCCTTCCCTCGCTCTCTCCCCCACCCCCTCGCTCTCCCCCACCCTTCCCTCGCTCTCTCCCCCACCCTTCCCTCGCTCTCTCCCCCACCCTTCCCTCGCTCTCTCCCCCTTCCCCTTCCCTCCCCCACTCACTCCTTCGCCATCTCGTGTCTCCCCCTCCCTCGCTTCTCCCCCTCCTCGCCCCTTCCCCATCACTCCACCCTCGCACCTCCCCCTTCCCTCCCCCCTCCTCACTCACTCCGGCCCCCCTCGCTACCCCACTCCTTACTCCCCCCCCACTCCCCGCATGCCTCTCCGTCCCTGCGTCTCCCCAGTAACAGTAACGGGCGGCAGCGATGTAACAGCCAGAGCTGGTCCCGGCTGCACAGGCTTCACTGACCCGTCAGCATGTTCCCATCGATCACTGCTAAACACATGGCACACGTGTGTGTGTGTGTGTGTGTGTCTGTCTGTCTGTGTGCGTCTGCCTTTATGTGTGCGACTGATGTTTGTACTTGTGTGTGTCTGGCTGTCTGACTGTGTGTGTGGCTGTTTGTGTCTGTGTGTGTCTGTGTGTGTTTGGCTGTTTGTGTGTGTGTGTGTGTGTGTAAATGCCCCAGAATTATTAATGACATAATATTTCCTCGGGTTTGAACCGGCCATTGCTGTAAATATAACTGTAGATTAGCCGCGTGTTTGTACAGGTAACCGGTTGTTAATGACGTCTGCTGATTCTAACCTGGTGGTGTGGCCAGAGCAGGGTGGACAACAACAACAACCTGCATTTCTATAGTGCCTTCCTGCAGGGGAGTGTCTCAGTGTGGAGCTGCGTGACACGTGCGAAGGGGAGAAATCAGAGAATAAATAACAATCTAATACAGGGCTCGGGGTTTGCCCAGTAACCACAGTCACCGCCCGGGACCCAGGAAGACAGGAGGGTGGGAATCACGGGAACAAAGAGATGAAACGAATCTCTAGGGCCAACATGTGTTTTTTTGTGAAAAAAAATTGTGACGTTTGCTTAAAAAAAATCCTAATTTAAGTCCTTATATAATATTTTGAAGCGGATTCCTGTAGCTCAGCGGTTGGAGCTCTCGCCTCGCAAGCGAGAGGACCCGAGCTTGAATCCTTAGGCAAGTTTCTTTACTCCGCACGCCTCTGTTTACCAGCAGTTGTTAGTCGATTGGCGGATCGCTTTCAGGGGGTAATAATAATCCGTCCCCCCCCCCCCAATTTTTTTTTATTTGGTCACTTAATCCATGACTGTTTGTGGGACGCCGCTGTGCACAAATGGCTAGCGAGTTTCGCCCACAAAATACGCAGTCACTGCACTTTGCAGTACATTCTGTGAAGCGCTTTGAGACGTCTCAACAACGTGATAAGGCGCTGTATCAAATGCAAGGATTATTATTATCAATATCCCACCCTACTCCGGCTCGGCCACCGTTCTAATCTCCAGGCTTCTGCATGGCATGGATTTGAGAAGTGTGTTTTTTTTTTCTTTCCCCTACTCTCCCCTCCTTCCTCTCTTTCTTTCTCTCTCTCTCTCTCTCTCTCTTTCTTTCTCTCTCTCTCTCTCTCTATCTCTCGAATTCAGGAAAGGGCAAAACTTGAAGCTGAGAGGCAGCAGATAGAGAGGATGCAGTTTGCTTACAATGAGCTGAAGAAACAGCTTGATAACTGCCCCGAGTCAATGAGGGAACAATTACAAGATCACCTCCGAAGGGTCAGTTGTTTTTTTTCCTAACTTCATTGAGTGGGGGGGAATGTCGCCCCCACTTTCTCCGCCCCCCCCCCCAGCCCTGATTTCCCCATGGAACACACTGCCATCTCTTTCCACCTCCCCCATCCCATCCGTTTCCCCCTCATTTCTCCCCCCCCCCCCCATCACAAACATATACACCACTAAGCTCCGCTCTCGATTGCTTCCAAGTTGCTTGAATCTCAAAGCCAAGGCTCAAAGGAGCTTAGAATTGGAGTCCACGCAAGTGAGGTACCTGCTGTAGTGAGACAAACCTCCTCCCCCCGCCTCTCCCCCCACCGGAGCCCCAAGTGGTTTAGGATAAACTGTGCAAGATGTCGTGATGTAATATGTGCTTCCCGTTTTATTTGGGATGGGGCGTGTTTGTGTCTGTGTCTCCGTACATGTTTGCGTGTTGGGATGGGAGGTGTGTGTGTTGGGGGTGGGGGGGGGGGGGTTGACAATATAGTGTTGGTCAAATGAAGTCTAGAAACTTCATTCTCCCTCACCCCCAACCTTTCCCCTATACCCCTCCCCCTGCTTTTTAAACACTGATTAATCCACGTTGCCATTAACACGATTAACAATATGTCTACTCCTGTGTGGATTGGTCGAGGGTGGGTGGGGGGTGGAGGGGTGCAGGGGCGGTTTGCGGGTGGAATAAGTTCTTTGGAGAGGTTGATTGAAGATCTCCATTGATGGACAGGTGGGCTGAGATCCGGGCCAGTGTGTGTGGTCCTTGTTGGCTACACCAGCTGTTGGATTTGGCCGGATGTTGAGTTGTCTCTCACAGTTGACCTCTGGTTGGGCTGTAGGAAGCTGACACGTTGGAATCCGAGACTAAACTCTTTGAGGACTTGGAGTTCCAGCAGCTGGAGAAGGAGAGCCGGTTGGAGGAGGAGAGAGAGACCATCAGCCAACAGCTCCTCCAGGAGCGAGCAGAGTATCATCGGAACGTCATGCTCAGAAAGGTTTGTCTCTCAACAACGACAACAAAACCAACTAGCATTTACACAGCGCCCCTCACTCACTGGAGTAGCACTGGGCAAGACCCCAAGCCGGTGGGGGTGGGGGGGGTGACCTTAGGCGCAGTCGAAGAGGAAGGTCTCCAGGCATGACCTGAAGATGAGGAAGGAGGGAGGGGGGCAAGGCGGAGGGATTGAGGGAGAGTGTTCCAGAGTTTCGGGACTGAAAGCGCGGCTACTGATGATGGAGCAGAGGGCATGAGAAAAAGTGAAACAAGTTTCTCTCTCTCTCCCGGCATCCCGGCCAGGATGAAATTGCTCGCTGTTTGTGCGCGGGGGGTGGGGGGGAGGGACGAGTTCGGTGTGGAGCTGACTGTGTCGCTCTCTCTCGCTCTCTGTATCCGCAGGAGAAAGTCTCGGCTCTGGACAGCCAAGCCAGTCAGATCCGCTATCAGGCCGCACAGGAGTGTGAGAGGCTGAACAAGCAGAAGCATGCCGCCCTGCAGATCCTGCACAAGGTACAGATACCCAGCGTCTCCGCAGCACTAACCCCCCCACCCTACCTCTGCCCCGCACTCCGCGTCTCTGGAGTTGACGTACAGCCATGGTCCAATAGAATGGTGAAACAGGCTCGAGGGGATGAATGGTCTACTCCTGTTCCTATGACTATCCAGTCACAAGGAGAGACATGGAAAGACAGGACTGGGTTCTTTGCTGGGACAGAGAAGATTGTGTTTGTGTGCGTGTGTGTGTCTATGTGCGCGGGGGTGGTCTAATGGAGATTGCCAATGGTTTTGATAAGTCAGGTTACGAGACAGACTGTTTATAATAATAAAATTATAATAATCCTTGCATTTGAGGCAGCGCCTTATCACGTCTTCTAGACGTCTCAAAGCGCTTCACAGAATATACTGTAAAGTAAATTGACTGTAAATTTTGTGGGTGAAACGCGGCAGCCAATTGCACACAACAGCGTCCCACAAACAGACGTGGATTGAAGTGACCAAGTTTATTATTTTTTTCTTGAGCGATTATTATCAGGGGTGTGGAGTAAGGAAACGTGCCCAATGTTTCACCCTGTCGGTAATCGAACCCAGATCTCTCGCTTTTGAGGCCATGGTCTAATAATCCCTCCAAAACAATAATAAATTGGTCATTTTCAATCTGTTTGTGGGACATTGCTGTGCACAATTGGCTGCTGCGTTCGCCCACAAATATACAGTCAATTCACTTTACAGTGTGTTCTGTGAAGCGCTTTGGGACGTCCTCCCGACGTGAAAAGCGCTATATCAAATGCAATGATTATTATTATTATTATAACCACTGAGCTATAGGACTCCGCTGGACAGGGAGTAAAACCCGAGTGTGAGAGGGAAATGAGGGGAGCGATGGGGAGAGAGAGCAGGGACTGAGATTAGAGTAGAAAGCTCCAGTGTTGGGGAGAAAGATGAGAGTGGGGATAGGGGGAAGAGCAGGGAATGGGGATGAGAGTAAATTATCAGATGCGTCATGTTATCGCTGGAGGTTTAGCAAATTCTCTTTTGTGCTCAGGAGAAAGAGCGATTGGCCGGACTGGAGAGGCAGTACTTCACACTGACCGGGGGGAAAAGCTTCTCAAAAGGTTCCACGGCTCTGAAAGAGGTAAACATCTGCTCGCTGGTCACCGGATTTTCCTTCCAGATTGTTCTAAACTCCCGGAAACTCATCCGTCCCTCTGGAATGTCCCTTCCCATCCAATTTTCTTTGGGAACAAACATCTCGTGCTGTGGCTCGACCTCTCGCACTCTTGTGTCTGAAGGTCAGGAGGTTGTGTGTTCGAGTCCCACATATTGGGGGATCTCTCGAGTTCACAGACTAGGCCGGGGGGGGTCCAACCTTTTGGCAGCTGAGGGCTGGATGCCCTATTTGAGAAACATCCATGGACTGTTAAGCAATATTCTTGTGTTTCCCATCCAGAAACATAACATTTACAGGTAATGGAGGGGGTGGGGGAGGGGGGACGGAATCAGCCCAAGGGCCATATGTGGCCGGTGGGCCAGCAGTTGGACCACCCTGGTAGGCTGACCCTCAGCTCCAGTGATGGAGGTAGCTCTGGATTGATGGAGGAGCCTTCCTTCAGATGAGATGTTGAACCAATCTCACTGTCCGTGCTCTGTTCAGGCGGATTTCAAAGATCCTGCGGCGCTGTTGGAAAAGAGAAGGGAATCTTTCTCTCTCCCGGTGTCCTGGACGATAATCCGCAACCCCCACCCAACCCCCCGCCCCCAGATAAATTGAATTGGTCACTCACTTTGTGGCGGTGTGTGGGGGCATTCTTATGCGCAAATTGGCTGCTGCATTCTCCCACAAAGTACACAGTGACTACACTTGATCGCAATTCCAAGACAAAAAATTCCTAAGGACTGGAAGGGGGAGAGGGTGGTGGGGTGGGGGGGGGAATAAGAGGAACATACGTGTGATTGGATGTGATGCTCATCACTGATTGATTCACTTTATGGCTCCGCTACTTCAACCTTTGAACAGGAAGTGCTCCATATCACAGAGCCTAGCGATCTTTTCCGGACGGCCAATGCCCAGAATTCCTTCCCCGGAAAATCCACCGCTTTTCTCCCCGCTTCCGGCCCCGGTTCGCAGCGACCCCGGCCACAGGAGGTAACGGCACTAACCCTTGCTCGCCGCATGCCGTGTGGTTTGCCATGACACACGCATGTCAACGGAAGTGCACATGCATGTGGGGTCCTGTAGCTCAGGGGTTAGAGCACTCGCCTCTCAAGCCGGAGGACCAGGGTTAGATTCCCGGCAGGAGGTAACCTTAGGAAAATTTCCTTACCGCGAAGTCAACGGAGATGTGTGGAGTAAGTTGGAACCCGGTTGTTGGTCGATTGGCGGATCACTTTCCGGGAGTAAAATCCCTTCAAACGAAATAATAAACTGGTCACTCAATCCACGACCGTTTGTGGGACGATGCTGTGCGCAATTGGCTGCCGCGTTGTGCCCACAAAATGCACAGTCACTACACTTTACAGTATATTTCTGTGAAGCGTTTGAGACGTCCCGAAGACGCCTTAAGGTGCTGTATATAAATCAATACAACATGCCATTTGTGTAGCGCCCATATCAAACGCAGAGATTATTATTGTTGTTGTGCACGTCATGATGTATGTCGCGACGGGTTTGCAAAGGAACATCTGGGCCATTTGGAATCCCAACGTCCGTATTGCCGACACATGTGTCAAACGTGTTAGTACAGTGATCAGGCATGTTGTGGCATCTGTGGCTGCCTTTTTCTGTGGCGATTTCCGCTCCCCCCGCCCCCCACTAAACTGCTCAACATCTACTCTTTCTATCCTGCCATTCACTCTTCTTCTCTGTCTCTCACTCTTTCTATCTCTATCCCACCGTTCCTTTGTGCATTTATCTGTCTGTCTGTCTGTCTGTCTGTCTGTCTGTCTGTCTGTCTGTCTGTCTGTCTGTCTGTCTGTCTGTCTGTCTGTCTGTCTGTCTGTCTGTCTGTCTGTCTGTCTCATTCTCCTTCTGTCTCTCTATCACATCCTATTGTGTGTCTCTCCCTCTGTGTCTCACCCTCTCCTGTGTGTGTGTGTGTGTGTGTGTGTGTGTGTGTCCCTCTCTCTCGCTCGCTCTCTCTCGCTCCCCTGTGTGTGTCTTTCTTTCTCGCCCTCACTGGCTTGCTGGCTCTCTCCCCACCTTGCTCTCATTTTGCAGGAGTATATGAAGCTGGCTGACGTCTATAAGTTCTACAGCGACATATACAGCTCCGCACTGCCACCCCCCCGCTTGCTGTGCCGCCTCCCCCACCTGCCAATGAGGTACACACGCTCATGCACACACACGCCTCAGTCATGCCACATTCCCTGCTCTCACTGCCTGACAACGCATCTGAGAACATGCCTGTGGCTCTCATGCTCCGCCCCTGTGATTCTCCCCCCTCTCGCCCCGGTCAGCCTGTCACTACACCCACCCCACGCTCTCCCCCTCTCACCCCGCCAGCCTGTGGCTCCGTGCCCCCCACCCCACGCTCTCGCCCCACCAGCCTGTCACTACGCCCACCCCACGCTCTCCCCCCGCCAGCCTGTCACTACGCCCACCCCACGCTCTCCCCCCTCTCTCCCTGCCAGCCTGTCACTCCGTGCCCCCCACCTCACGCTCCACACCCCCTCACGGGCCGCCCTGTTTGCTGGTAGCTTTATACGTACCGTTAGCTGGGTGTGTGAACGCCTGAGATGTTGCCGTGCATGACCGTGCCTATAGTGGGGTATTGATTGACCTTCGTTCACTGTGGTGTCGCCACTGGAATATTATCGGTTTCTCTTTTAGCCTCTGCGGGATTTTCCCTCAGGCTCAGTGAGCAGCTCAGTTCGGGTCTGCGGGGGGAAGGGGGGGGGGGTGGGAGTTGAAGCAGATTCTGATTATATCCCTGATAGGAGACTTGTGGCTTCTTTTCTATTTATTCCTTATCTGGTGAAGTGATGTGTAACCTCACACTTCTGTTTCCAGAAACTTTTCTCTCAGCTTTTTGACTTTACTAACAACCTTTTTCCTTCCGCTCTTCCCCCTTCCCCCACGTGCTGCCCCACCCCTCTCTCTCACCACCCCTCCGTCTCCCGCTTGCTGTGCCCAGGAGTATGTGACGGTGGGACAGCTTAGGGAGATGTATGGCAGTTCGTTGGGAATCTGCGCTGCTTCCCCGGGACCGGTCCCGGCCTCTCTGTCTCTCCCCGCTCCGAGCTTCCTGGCCGTCCAGCCTTCCTCCTCTTCACAGCTTGGCACCGAGGTGGGTGCGAGGATTCTTCCGAATCTGGGAGCTCTGATCAAAAACTCCCCTTCAACTCTGATTAACTCCCTCCAGCAAAGAGACATTTCTCCAACAACTGCCGTTAAACTGACCCATTGGGTTTGCGTTGGGATTGGGGTTGGATTGAGTTTAGCTACGTGGTATTGGATGGGTTGAGTTGCGTTAGATTGGGATTGCTTCAGGATGGATTCATTTAGATTTGCAGTGTTGGGGTCGAGTTGGGTTGGGTTCAATTGGAGTTGGGTTGAGTTGGGATTGCAGTTGGGTTGGGGATTGAGTTGAATTAGGTTGGGGATGGAGTTGGGGTTAAATTCAGTTGAGGTTGGGTTGAATTTGGGATGTGTGGAGGAATTCTCTGGGAGCTAACGTGAGTGTTGAACAGAGCTCCTGTCTATTGCTTGCCTTGACTGTAACACTTGCCTTCTTATTACACAGTAAACATCAACTTCAAATTCAAATACTCTGACCTTCCAACTAAATATATCCTCCAATTTTACATAATTTATTTTACTTTAACAGTAAAATGGCAAGGTTTAGAGATGTCCCGGTTTGGGTTCCCTGTACTCTCCCTATCAAAGACATGATGGGGAGAGAGCAGGGAATGGGATTACAACAGAGAGCTCTCGTGGGGGAATGAGTTAGCGAGCGAGCGGATTTGTCCTTTGGTATAAATTGGGATTTTTATATAAAATTGATGAACTTTATTCAGAGAGACAAAAAAAAACTGTCAACCTGGTGCAATATGTGGGAGTGAAATGGAATGAAATTTGCGACGTTTCAAAATGCCCAAACGAAAGGGGTGCAAACCTCCGAATTTCGCGAGTGGCAAAAGTCCCAGAGCATGAGAGGAGACAACGGATCAGCAATGTTGGCAGAGCGAGCGAGAGCGTCTGAAAGCATTGACTGACAGAAACCTTGATGCAGTGACTGAATAATCGAGAGATCTATCTCACGGTCCCGAAAAGAACGTAAGAATTTGCTAGACGAAGGTCCATCCAGTTCACCTTCCACCATCCTGGCTGTCGCCTGACATGTCGTGTCCCAAACTATATATTGCATCCCCAGATATTATTTCGAAACAGAAATCTATCTCATTTGTTCTTGAAAGAATCGACATTTTCTGCTTCCACCGTCTCTGAAATTCTGGTGTCTGTAGCCAGACTCGGGTCACACGTTAGTTTTCTTACTTACATTCATTGACTTACATTATCTTTTTTATTCACTTTTTCCTTGAATAATATTTTTTTTTCTCTTCTGTTCTGTTCTGGCTTCCTTCCCCCTCCTTGCGCATGGGTTTTTCTCTCTCTCCCTGTCTCCCTCCGTCCGTCTGTCTGTCTCTTTCACTCCTCTCCATCCCATTGGTGTTGTGTTCTCTCTCTCTCTCTTCCTCTCCCTCCCTTTCCCCGTTTCGTGCCTGTGACCAGCCATCGCCGTCCAATAGGACACTGACCTCGACACAGGAGCTAGAGCGATGGTACCAGGAAATCATGGCTAGCTTTGAGGCCTCGTCCTCTTCACCTCCTCCTCTCCCAGCTAAAGCACACTCCACACGAAGGCTTCACAGGTAAAAGTCACCCCTGCTTCACACCCCAAACCCACCCCACCCGCTGTCCAGCCTGAACCATCCTCAACCTGTGTCAATTATTTTGCTTAAGGTCTGGGTTCAGTTAGAGAAATGTCGGTGTCTTGTTTTTGGCCGTAGAGGTCAGTGGAGGGTGGGTGGAGAGAGATAGGCTCCAGTTTGGGGGATTTTCACCCCACGATCCTTTACGTGACACCTTGTTATGCCTTGTTCCAGACTCCCAATTCAACCCAACTGAACCTTAACCCCAATTCAACTCAACCCCAACTCATTGCAAACTCAACTGGTGAGAGGTGCTATACAAATGTCATTTATTGTTGTTGTTTTACAAAAATGTCCGCCTCGCCTCTTTCGTCTACAGAAGGAAAGCCCTTCATGTTTGGGTGGTTCCAGATCAATCCGATCGATTAGTGTTTTGATTCTGAATAGGTTTAACGCTCAGGGACACAGAACAGGACGGGACACAACTTTGCACCTTTGCGGGGGGTCATGTATCATAGCTTGATTGTTGACTCTCTCTTCCCCCCCCCCCCCCCCGGCCAGGTTTACCGATCCAAACTGGAGAGCGAGGGGTGTGGGACTCTGCCTCGAACGAAGACTGGATCTGCTCCCTCGTCCCCATTCACTGCTTCCACGCTCGGACGCAACGCGGCAGCCAAGGTAATTTGATCACGTCGTTGAGGCGTCTCAAAGCGCTTCACACGACACACTGACTGGAGTGACTGTGTATTTTGTGGGCAACCGGAATTGTACTGGGACCCACCCGTTCCTCAACCTGACGACAACGGCGGCCTCCCAGAGCGCTTGACAGTACCAGAGCACGAGACCGAGCCGGAGAGAGGGGTTGGTGACCATAGGTGGGGGGGGGGGGGGGAAGATGACGGAAGGGGAGGGAAGGGAGGGTTAATGTTGTGATGCACAATTGCTGACGTCCATACATTCAGCTCAGAGGTGACCAGAGCCAGGATGGAGACCGAATCCCCCCCCAATTCTCTCACCGCAAACTCACACTGGGGCCGTGGGTGGGGGGATAATAAATAAACGGGTAGAGGGAGGGATGAGTTTGTCGTGACCTCTCTCTGACAAGGTTGTGGCTGCTCTCCCACACTCTCACTTCCTCCCTCTCTCTCTCTCACTCACTCCCTCTCTCACACTTTCACTCACTCCCTCTCTCACACTTTCACTCTCTCACTCCCTGTCTCTGAGACTCTCACTTCCTCACTCACTTCCTCACTCACTTCCTCACTCACTTCCTCACTCACTTCCTCACTCACTCACTCACTCACTCACTCACTCACTCACTCCCTCTCTCTCTCCCTCTTGCACACTCTCACTCTCTCCCTCACTCTCTCCCCCTCTCTCACACTTTAACTCACTTATTCCCTCTCTTCTCCCTCCCTCACTCTCTCACATTCTCACTCCCACTAACTCACTCCCTCTCTCACACTCTTCACTCGCTCACTCCCTCACTCCCTCTCTCGCCGCAGGGCTCGGCGCTGGCACAGAACGGCACGGGGAGTTTGCCACGGAAACTGGCGGCCACACTGCAGGACATCGAAGCCAAACGGCAGCTGGCTCTGCAGCAGAAAGGTACAGAGAGGGTGGGTGGGGTTGGGTGGGCATCAGCCTGGCATCCGGGGGGAGGGGAGGGGAGGGGCAGAGACGAACATCGGTGGTCCCGGTTTGTTGGTCGATCCCTCAGTCGGTCATAAAAAAAACAGACGCCGCTGGGAACACGCAGCAGGTCAGGCAGCATCTATGGAGAGAGGGAAACGTGTTAACGTTTCAGATGGATGACCTTCCCTCTCTCCATAGATGCTGCCTGACCTGCTGCGTGTTCCCAGCGGCGTCTGGGGTTCATTTCAGATTTCCGGCGTCTGCGGTATTTTGCCGGAGTCGGTCAGTCAGTCACTCGGCCATTGTTGACTTGCAGCTCAACCCAATTATGTAAATGTGCTCGTTTGTCCGCGCCCCCCCCGTGCCCCCCCTGCCCCCCCCCCCCGTGCCACCCCCTGCCCCACCCTCCCTGTGCCACCTCCTGCCCCACCCCCTGTGCCACCCCCTACCCCACCCCCCTGTGCCACCCCTGCCCCACCCCCCTGTGCCACCCCCTGCCCCGACCCACTCCCACCCACAGGACACCAGGTGATTGAGGAGCAAGGCGACGATTGGCGGATCTGAAGCAGAAGGCGGCGCTGGAGGCACAATCGCAGTGGGAGGCCCTCCACCCGCACCCACCGGAGCTCATCCACCACAGCATCCTCCACCACCACCCCCGCCTCCCAACACGCCGGCGACATGGAACACGCCTTCGACACGCTGAGCCTGGAGAGCTCGGACAGCATGGAGACCAGCATCTCCACGGGCAACTCGGCGTGTTCCCCGACAACATGTCCAGGTGAGGCCGCGCCACGCGTGTCTGAGGAACGATGATAAACCTTGATGGAGCCGGGCATCTTTATCACGTCGTCGAGGCGTCTCGAAGCGCCTCGCAGGATTCGCCGTGAAGTGTAGTGACTGTTATTCTGTAGGTGGGCGCGACAGATGGTTTTTCGTGCTCGGCGGACGACCCTGCCAACCGTCACGAGGGAGGGAGCGAGAGAGAGCGAGAGTGTGTGAGAGAGCGTGTGAGAGAGCGAGGCAGAGTGAGAAGGAAGGGGAGAATGGGAGAGGGGAGGGGAGAGCGCGTTAGAGGGAGTGCGGAGAGGGGAGGGAGAGAAAGTCTTAGTTTTGAGATGCCTCTGATATTATGGGTGAATTATTCCAACTCAGAGATTATTTATGACATTCCCCCCCACCCCCCCCCCCCCCCGCAACCAGGCATGTCTGGGCTGCTCACAAAACCCTCGCCCAAGTCAGGTTGTTTGAGTTTTGTATCTGGGGCGAGACTGTGAAGCGCGACGGCAAAGCCACAGTCGCTGAGGCGGGACTCATTCCCCAGGGCGCGGAAATATATACACCTCCACATTAACCCCTCGCAAGCCGGCCTGCCTTTCCACCAACTTAGCAAATCTCAGACCCCAGAGCTCCTCCGACGACGACGACAACAACAACTTGCTCTGGGGTCTGAACGCTCAGGCGGGGGGTAGCGAGAGGGAGGGGGCAGGTGACCGTTAGGCACGGTCAAAGAGGGAGGCCTTCGGGCGCGACCTGACGATTGGGGAAGGAGTTGGCAAGGCGGAGGATTGAGGGAGAGCGTCTCAGATTTTCGAGGCGTAGGGGATGAAAGCGCGGCGGCCAATGGTTGGAACGGAGGGCCGAGGGACAAACAGGAGGCCGGCCAGAGCCGTGGCAGAGGGGTGCGGAGTTGGGCAGTCAGCAGGTCAGTGAGGTGCGGAGGTGCGGGGATTTGAAGGGATTTACACAGCAGTTGCCTGTTTATGTTTTTTTGGGGGGGGGAGAGGGACAGGGACAGGGAGAGGTTGGTGGGGAAAGGGAGAGGCGTACGGCTCTGCAGAGATTGCTGAATCCTTGCCGGGCGTAGGGTGAGGGTAGGGACTGTGGGAGACGATGTGCTCCAGGTTTTACCACCAGCCTCTCCCCAAACCCCACACTTGTTCCTTGTTTGCACACGTTGAACATTGCCAAAGGGGCAGAGACAGAGCGAAACAGTGAGACCGAGAGAGAGAGAGAGTGACTCAGTCAGACTGCGCCGGGCTCACGGTAACCTGACCCCTCGCTGTCCTGGCGAGGAACAGGCCACGCGGTGTCTGTGTAATCACTGTCTGAAGTTCGGGGGTCTCGGCTCAGAGCCATGGCCACTCCAGGCGGCTACAGCAAGTGGGGCAGGTGAGAGGTCGGGGCGTGAGGACAGGGTGTGTGTGTGATTGAGTAATTCTGTATACGTGTATAACTTCGCCACTGTGTCTGCGCGCACGCGTGTGTATAACACTGTGTGTGTGTGTAAAACACTGCCTGTGTGTGTGTATATATGTGTGTGCGTATATATATAACACTGTCTGTGTGTGTGAGTGTGTATATATATCACTGTCTGTGTGTGAGTGTGTATATATAACACTATGTGTGTGTGTATATATATATATATATAACACTGCCTGTGTGTGTGTATATGTGTGTGTGCGTATATATATAACACTGTCTGTGTGTGTGTATATATAACACTATGTGTGTGTATATATATATATATATATAACACTGCCTGTGTGTGTGTGTGTATATGTGTGTGCGTATATATATAACACTGCCTGTGTGTGTGTGTGTATATGTGTGTGTGCGTATATATATAACACTGTCTGTGTGTGTGTGAGTGTGTATATATATCACTGTCTGTGTGTGTGAGTGTGTATATGTAACACTGTGTGTATGTATGTGTGTGTGTATATATATATATAACACTGTCTGTGTGTGTGAGTGTGTGTATATAACACTGTCTGTGTGTGTGTGTCAGTCTTGTGTAAAGGCTGTTGGTTGGGATCAGTGTGCCGCTGCCTCCCTCCCACCATCTCCACATGCCCCGGGGTGGGGGGCGCATGTGCCTGGCACTGGGTGAACTTTACCCTCTCCGCCACAGCGCCGTTCCTGGCAGTTCTTAACCCTTTTGTGACTGAAATGGCTTCAGTGCGTATAATAATAATAATCCTTGCATTTGATATAGCATAGGACCAGGAGGCGGCCATTCGCTCCACCCCACTCTCTCTCTGTCTCACTCACCGCCCCCCCCCCCTCCTCTCTCTGTCTCACTCCCGCCCCCTCTCTCTCTCTCTCTCTCTCCCTCTCTCTTTGTCTCGCTCCCCCCCTCTCCCTGGCTCGCCTTCCCGTCCCAGGGCTTAGGGATGTCCTCCAGATGTGAATGGTGCGATACGAATATAATTTGGTGTCGTTTCCTCTCTCTCCCCCACCCTCCTCGTCCCATCTCTCTCCCTCCTTCTCTCTCCCCCCCACCCCCGCCGCCTCTCATTCCCTTCTTCCCCCACCCACACCCTCGTTCCCTCTCTCCCCACCTCCCCTCTCATTCCCTCTCTCAGTGCCAGTGGTGTTGACGTGACGAAGATTGAGGAGATGGAGAAGTTGCTGAAAGAGGCGCAGGCAGAGAAAGCTCGTTTGCTGGAGACACGGGTAGGTCTCCTCCTGGAAGGGATAGGGCTGCGGGGGGGGGGGGGGGGGGTCAGTCGCTGCCACAAACCAGAGCTCGGCGGGCTGGGTGGGATGTCCTGAGCGAGACCAGGAAACAGGGTGATGGGTGGGTGAGGGGGGGAAACCATTCCAACACCCAGGACGGAGGGCGTGGTTGGACGGGATATTGGGATATCTTCTTGTGGGTTGCTGAGTGCTGTTCCTGAAGATCGAATGTTTCCTTTCTCTCCCCCACCCCAACCCTTCCCTCGCCCCCTCCCCACCAGGAGCGGGAGATGGAGTTCCGGCGTCACGCCTTTGAGGAGGAGAGGAAGCGACGGGAGGAACTGGAGAAGCGGCTTCAGGAGGAGACGGTCCACAGGCAGCAGCTGGTGGACAGAGAGGTGAAGATGAGAGAGAAAAACTTCTCCCAGGTACGTGTTGGCTGGGCAGGGGGTAGGGCGGGGGTTGGGGGTAGAGCGGGGAGTGGTGAGGGGTGTTAAGCCCCAGCTGGTGGGGTGTAGCAATTTGTAAAGGGGTCACCTTGGGTCACTTACTACATTTGCTCACAAAATGCACAGTCAATTCACTTTACGGATATCCTATGAAGCGATTTGAGACATCGCGGAGACGTGATGAAGCGCTGCTTCAAATTCAAGGATTATTACTAATATTATTATTATTATTATTGAGACACCCAGTCGCTTGCGATCCGGCGAGACGACGATCAGAAGCCACCACGACTTCACAAGATGGGCTGTAAAGTGAATTTGACTGTATATTTTGTGGGTGAATAAAAACATTATTGCTGTGAATGGGTTCCAGGCCCGACCTCTGACCCGCTACCTGCCCATACGGAAAGAGGACTTCGACCTGCGGTCACACATTGAGTCGTGCGGACACAACCTGGAGACCTGCTACCAGGTCAGCCTGACCGAGAGGATGTGTAAGGGACACCTGACCAAAATGGGCGGCAAAATCAAATCCTGGCGCAGACGCTGGTTCGTGTTCGACAGAATGAAACGCACATTAACTTACTTTGCCGGTGAGATGCGTTTGGGTTGTTTTTTTTCCGCCCGGGTGTACTGTAGCGTAGTTGTGAGAGCGCTCGCCTCGCAAGCGGAGGTCCGGGTTTAATTTCTTGGCAGGGCAAAACTTTAGGCAAGGTTCCTTACTCCACGCACACGCACACGCACACGCACGAACGGACCTGCCTCTGTTTACCCAGCAGTAAGCGGGAACCCACGTGTCAGCCAATTGGTGGATCGCTTTTCCGGGGTAATAATCCCTCGCAATAAATAAATAACAGTAATTTGGTCGCTCAACCCACGACTGTTTGTGGGACGCTGCTGTGCGCAATTGGCTGCCGAGTTTCGCCCACAAAATACACAGTCACTACACTTTACAGTGTATCCTGTGAAGCGCTTTGAGACATCTCAATGACGTGATATATCAAATTTGATATATTTCTCCCCCGATGCACACACACCCTCCCCAGGGAAGCTGGTCACTGTGAGGCTGCTTATAATCGACAAGCGCACAGTCACTACATCACGGGGAGGTGGGTTCTGGGTCTGACTTGAGGATGATTTACATCAGCTGCAGGCATCGGTGTTTAGTTTCTAACTGGAGTCTATCTGCTTCCTCTCCAGATAAACACGAGATTAAGCTAAAGGGAGTGATTTACTTCCAGGCTATCGAGGAGGTTTATTACGATCATCTCAGGAGCGCCTCGAAGGTGAGGAGTTGCACTCCTCTTCCCCCCCACCCCCACCTCTCAAAATTAACCCTCACCGCTCCACCGTGACAGCCCAGACCCCCTCCTTGCACCGCTTTGCCAAAGTGTCCCTCCGTGAATAAGCATCGTATAAACACAAGTTGCCGTCGTACCTCCTCCTAGAATCATAGAATCTCACAGCACGGAAGGAGGCCATTCGGCCCATTGTGCGTGTGCCGGGCGTGTTCTTTGAAAGAGCTACCGACTAGTCCCGCTCCCCACCACGCTCTTACCCCATTGCCCTGCAAATTTTTCCTTCTCAAGTCCCTGTCAAATTCCCTTTTGAAAGCTACTATCGATTGTGCTTCCACCCCCGGATCAGGCAGTGCAGTGCAGTGCGTTCCAGACCCTAACAGCTCGTGGGCGAGAAACACTTCTCCCCTGTGGTTCTGTTTTTCTGTCTTCAAAACTCTTCAGATAAAGAACACCTCCTCCCTCCCCCGCCCTCCAATACCATGAGTCCCATGTGTGAGGCGTGTTCTCCCCGTGGCTTGGGGCGTGTTCTCCCCGTGGCTCGGGGCGTGACGTGAGGTGGGGCGTGTGCTCCTGTGACGACTCTGCTGGTAATTGACGGTGTTGCTGTTGGTTTGCAGAGCCCGAATCCTGCGCTCACCTTCTGTGTGAAAACTCACGACCGGCTGTACTTCATGGTGGCCCCCACGCCAGAGGCCATGCGTATCTGGATGGACGTCATCGTGACGGGGGCGGAGGGCTACACACAGTTCATGAGCTGAGAGACTGGGGGACCCCAAACTCTCCTCCTTTTTCTTCCCCCACCACCTCCCCCCCACACACACAGACACACACACCACAACCCCCCATACCCAGTCTCGCTCTCTCTCTCGGATTGTTCGAACTCACCTGCTCTGTCCTACATCGGAGACACACACGGACTGGAAGCCTCTCTCTAAGTGTGTGTCTGTCTCTCTCTTTCTCCTGAAAACTCTGTCCTCAAGACTGAGAGACTAAACAACGTGGGACGAAGGAAGGAATTTGGAGAGAATTCTCCCAGGAAAGCCTTGTGATGACGAAACAAAAAAAGCCTTTCTCTCTCTCCCTCACCCCCATCCATCCACACCCTCTACCCTCCACCACATACACACACACACATACACACACACACACAACTTTCCCCGTTTCTCTTTTATATATATATATATATATTGGAGAAAAAAAACTCTTGTTTTCATCGATGCAAAACAAAAAGGGATGGAAAAAAAACTCTGCCAAAAACCGAAAGAAAAGAACACAATAGTTCCCTCGGTGAGACCGGAGAGGAACGAGCAAATGTTCGGAAAGTCAACAGGAGGGGATGGAGATTCGTTCATTCCTTCCCCGGAAAAGTGGAACAGTGACAGGTGGTGGCGGTGATGGAATATTCCGTACGCAACTTGACAAGAGCCGTAGGGGAGGAGGGGGAGAGGGCAGAGTCTGTCGTAACTGGAAGCTGATGATGTTTCATTCCTCCGTGCGAAGCCGAGCTTCACAACAACTGCGGATTTTGGGGGGAGCAAGTGGGATGTGGAGAGATCAACGTTGAAGCCAACTCAATTTCCCCCCCGCCTCCCCCCTTCTCTGTGCCACACCATCCCTCCCTGTCTCCCTCTTTGTGCCAGCCCCCACCCCCCCCTCCCATCTCTCTATGTGCCTTGTAATTCTGTGGCTGGGTGGGGGCGGGGGGTGAAATCAAATGCATCGATTGATGAGTCTCTGTGTTTTCAGGGAAGTGGGGTGTCTGTCGGGGGAATTGTTTTAAGAACGATTGGGTCAGGAGAGTTTGGAGTTTGCTTGTTCTGTCGCCAGCTTTCCACACGCAACGTTGACCTTGGTGCTCCTGTCCGTAAGTATTCCAACACGTGACATGATATTTACACGCCTGACGTGATATTTACGCATGGGACGATCAATGTGAGGTTCGCCCCGCGCACTTGCGTTCGTGTAAATTCATTCGATATCTGCCTCCAAGCTCATTGGTAAGTAATTAATGTAGAGTCCTGTAGCTCAGTGGTTAGAGCTCTCGCCTCGCAGGCGAGAGGACCCGGGTTCGATTCCTGGGGAGGACAAAACCTTGCGCAAGTTTCCTTACTCCACACGGCTCTGTTTGCCCAGCAGTAAGTAGGAACCCGGTTGTTAGTCAATTAACGGATCGCTTTCCAGCGGTAATAATACTGTAGTAAATTGGTCACTCAATCCACGGCTGTTTGTGGAGCGCTGCTGTGCGCAATTTTTGGCTTCCGCGTGTGCCCCACAAAATATACAGCCGATTCACTTTACAGTATATCCTGTGAAGCGCTTTCAGACATCTCAAGGACGTGATAAGGCGCCATATCAAATGCAAGGATTATTATTAATGCTATTAAAACGCAAACTGCTCCCGTGGCGTAAATCAGCGATGCGCACGAACACAAGCGGGTGCGCGTGTTTTCACAGCTCGAGTCGAGCTCCCTGTGCAGGTTTAATGAGTGCGTTAAACTCAGTGCGTGTGGGGGTTGGGGGGGGGGGGAGTGGCGTTGAACAGAGTTTTTAACACTCAAATTCTTGTTGGTCGGGTATGCGCGGGGGGGTAATGGACAAGGTAAGATAAAGTGGATTTCAGACCCATTATAGTGCTTTTTTTTACAGAGCCGTAAAGTTATTTTACATTAATGTGTGTTGTCGTTGCTGTTGTGTTGGGTTTCGAACCCGACTTAAACCCTCTGTGAAATCAGGGAATCTGAATCTTTCGTATGAGCTGGAACAGTGTTACTTATTTGCATTGTACTTTATATAGAGAGAGAGAGTTTTATTAACCGGTTTTTGTACCTGAGTCTCCGTGCTGGGGGGCATTTGGACGACTAAAAAAAAAAAATTCTTTTTATATACGTGAAAACGACAAAAAAATTACTAAAATAATACCAGAACTATTCATAATAGCTTAACGCCTTGACACCTTGTAAATTTACATCATGGTTTGGGGGGAGGGAGGGAGGGAGGGTGAGAGGAGATAGTTTTAAAGGTTAACTTTTTATATATTTATCGAAGCGGAAAAAAGTGGGTTTGAACCCAAAACCGGGTGACATCGCTCGCCCTCTTTCCCTCCACCCCACCACCACCACCTGCCTCGTCCCTTCCGCGTTCCGTCTTGAGATGTGATATTTAGCACAAGGTACAGGAATGTCACACCCCCAAACCCCCCCACCTCACCCACCCAAATACACTACACACACACACACTCCCTTCGGTATCCAATTCTCGGTCACCAGTTGGTCTTGCCGCCCTCGCCCCAAACTTAATAAAAATAGTTTCTCCCGTCACCCAGTTCAGTCCAGTGCTGGATGAATAGCTGCTGCCATTTTTTTAAGTGGTGCGAGTGATTTTTTTCCCCCATTAATTTTGTAATTAAGCCTTTTAAATTAAGGCTCGATTCCCCGCCCTCCAGACTGTCTGTCGATTTGCTCACCACACACTATTAGCGCGATGTTCTGACGTGACATGGCGGGCAGGGGGTGGTATTAAATGCAAGGATTATTCAGTCCCGTGCCTTGTGCTAATTTACACATCACATGCCCCAAACTTGCCCCACAACCTTCGCCCCGCCCCACCCACCCACACCGGCAAACAGATCATGAGCTTAGCACATACGTGAGACTCATGAGCACCGCCTAGTGCTAACTCTACGGTCCAGGAGGAATGATGATCAGAATTCTCTCAAGGCAAAGCCTTGAACCCCAAACTCCTCACCTTGTGGGTGCTAGTGGAGGGGACATAACCCCGTCATGGGTGGGGGAGGGGGGGAGGGAGGGAGGAAAGGGGGTAATTATATTATGGTAAAGGAGTTTACCCGGTTCGTGCTGTCTGCCCTTCGATGTGGCATTTACAAACCCGTGGCCTTTGGTGATGTCCTGGTGATCGCGTTGCCCGGACAATGTGACGTGTTTTACCCGGATTTTTAAAATAAAAGTGGAAACATGAACCGTCGCCCTGACTTGTGTGTCGCTGTCTTCTTTAACCCTTTCAGTGAAGGTGCTGCCAGGGAAGGGGCTGTGGCTTAGCCTTGTAAGCGAGAGGACCTGGGTTCGATGCCTGGCAGGGCGAAACCTTAGGCAAATTTCCTTACTCCAAACGCCTCTGTTTCCCTAGCAGTAAGTAGGAACCCAGTTATTAGTCAATTGGTTAAACGCTTTTCGGCGGCTAAGAATCCGTCCAAAAAAAACAATTCAGCCCATCGCAGCTGTTCCATCAGATTAAGCAGTGAATTAAACACAGAGCTCCAGTGGGGGAGCAAGTGCCAGCACAGACACGATGGGGAAGAGAGCAGTGGAATGGGATTAGAATAGAGAGCTCCAGTGTGTGTGTGTTTGGTGGATGGGGAGGGGTAGATAGAGAGAGACCGAGCGTAGACAAGTACAGAGACATGTTTGTTTGGATGTGGAATCTGTTGTGAATTAGAGAGTAAGGGGCAAGGGTTTGGCCAACAAGCCATGAGAGGGGGCTCCTGAACCCAAACCCAAACCATCTCCACATCAGCAACTGTATCGCGTTCAGTTCGGAACTGGTTGTGATTGTGCGTGTAAACCACCTGCACAAGTGTGTGCGTGTGAGCGTGCCACGTGTGTGTGTATGCGAGGTTGGGGGGGTGGTTGTTGGGAGATCTGTACAGAGAGTGGGCAGACATCCTCTCTCACAGTTCCGTGTTTGTGTGGGTCAACGGACGTCAGCACGACCCAAAGCATGAGGGTAATTGCTCAGTCCACGTGATGCAGCCATCGTCCTGCCCGGAGATCAGGACAGGACGAGGTAAGGACTTGGAAATTGGGAGTGAAAAGTGTTGAGGTTCCACGTGTTATCCCGGCTGATCCTGACTTTGGGGGGAAATTAATAACTGAAAACTGAGCGTCAAGTAAGGGCTGGGACCGTCCCGTAACTACATGGTCAACCCTCCCAATGCTCACTGCTGCTGGCGTAGTGTTGGGGGGAGCAATGCATCGTTTGAGGCTCCGTCCTTCAGTTGAGATGTTAAACTCAGCTCCCGTTCAGTGCATGGCCGGATGGAAGCTTAATACTCCCAAGATGTGTGTTTGTGCGCGTGTGTGTGTGTGGGGGGGGGGAGGGGGGTAGGTGCGGAGGGTGTGTGTGCATGTGTTCGTGTTTGAGAAAATTAGCACCTGTGTTCGCTTCCTATGGAAGCACAGTAGTGGCTAGACCTGCCCAGAGATCATGGAAAATAGTGAGTCATTTAGCATTAGGGATGTATACGCCGTGGGCAAAAGAGCCACAAAATACACAGTCGATTCACTTTACAGTATGTCCTGCGAAGCTTTCTTGAGACGTCTCAATAATGTGATAATGCGCCGTCTCAAAAGCAAGGATGTTATATTATTCTGTGCTCCAAAAATGCGACTTCTCTGTCTGATCGTGCGTGTCTTCTCTTTCTCGACGGCGCAGTCTGCGGATAAATTTTGCCCTTGCTTCAGCGCTTAGCATTTAGAAACTAGAAAACGAGAAAGAGAGAGAGAGAGAGAGGAAATCACCTCCCCCAAAATATCTTCACAGCATCCAGTTTAAAATAGCCGCAGAGATAGGCTGAAACTGGGGCAGGCTTGTTTGTCAAGTGACCAGCGCAGAGGACATTAGGTTCATGCAGCCCTGAGGGAGGTAAGTGCTCACTCGCTAAAACCCCCACAAAACCCCCAAACTCGCAAGACTTTTTGAGCCTTCCTCCACGCATGAATCCTATTTAATTCCCTTTCATTTGCATTAGACGAGGCACAGTAATTTTGGAGTTGATACGCCCTCTGGCTGAGGGCTGGGCTGTGCTGCCTAAAGCCTCTCGGATTAATTTATATTTTTACAGTCTCAGCATTTTTCTGTCTCTCTCGATTCCTTTTCTTCTTGCTGCTGCTTTTCGCAACAGGAAGTCGCAAAGCCAGAGAGATACCACGTACTGATTTTTTTTTTATTCAGCGTCTCTCTGCGACCTTCAGGGGCCCGGAGGAGGATGGGGTGGGATCGTGGGTTCAAGTCCCACCTGGAGCTCTCAGCCCAGGCTGACCCTCGAGCACAGTGCTCAAATGGGGGTGTGGGGGGAGCACTGCATTGTCGGAGGCGCCGTCCTTTGGGTGAGACTTTTACACTGAGCTTCCCACTACTTGTGCCCGACTTGGTCTGTTGTGAAGGATTTATCCCCGTGTCCCAGCCAACAATCCTCCCTCTTCACGGATATATTTCCTTACTCCCCCCCCCCCCCACCCCCCAACCACCACTATGAGCAAATGGGTTTAAAGCAACAACAACTTGCACCCCTCACGCAGGCCAGAGCGCTTAACAGTGGCGGAGCACGACGCTGAGTCGGTGGGAGGTGACCGCACGGTCGAATAGGAAGGTGTTCAGGCGCGACCTGAAAATGGGGAAGGAAGGGGAAAGGCAGCGGAATAGAGGAAGATTGTTCCAGATTTTCGGAGCATAGTGGCTGGAAGCACAGCCGCCAACAAACAAAAAATTACACGTGGATAGCGCCTTTCACAGCAGGAGGACATCTCAAGGCGCTGGAAAAATGGTGGAACGGAGGGCACGAGGGACCTGCAGGAGGCTGGAGCCAGTTAAGCGGAAGCAGCGGGTAGTGGGTTGGGGAGTAAGCAGGTCGGAGAGGCAGGGAGGTGCCAAGGCGTGAAGGGTTTTGGAAACTACTGTGAGGATCTTGAAATTGATCTGCTTGGCGTTATGGAGCCCGTCTGGTAACGCAGGTACGGAGTTTAGTACGGGAGAATATGTGGGCGGCAAAGGTTTGGATCAACTGGATCCTGTGCACGGCAGAGCTGGAGAGGTCGGCGAAGAGGGCATTTCAAAAGTTAATTTGGGAGGTGACGAAATCATGGACGAGTGCTTTGACTGTGAAAACTACTTTTGACTTGAATATTCTGGTTGTTTGAATGAATGCAGATTGTTTTTGATGACGGATGTTGAGGTTGGAATCAGTAAGTTTGCCCTACCTGCCCAACACACACCCATTTACCTGCCTCGATGAGAGATTGGAGTTGACGAAAGCAAAAGTGCTTCCGTAGAGCAGCCAGAGTGAGAGAAGAAGGTGCAGGGGGAAATGTGCTGAACACGCTAGAACAGGCAAGCTTCCACCAAAGACACCAGAGGTGAGCAACTGATTGTGTTGGCAAATGACTGGGAGCTCCTCTACTGTCGTGGAGTCCTGTTAAGAGTGGTTAGATTGCTCGCCTTGCAAGAGACCTCGGTTTAATTCCTGGGCTGGGTGAAATCCCAGGCAGTAAATAGTCATCCGGTTGTTTAAGTCGAAGGTCGGATTGCTCTTCCCGTGTTAATAAACCATTTGGTAAACATTTGGTGACTCAATCCACGAGGGATGGTGTTGTGGGACACTCTTGTGTGGCATTAGCTGCTGCTGCTTTTCACCCACAAAATATGGTCACTATACTTTACGGTATATTCTGTGAAGGGATTAGAGACGTCTCGAAAACATGATAACGCACTATATACAATGCAAGCATTACTATTACTATCTCTAGCTTCTGTTTGACTGACTGGTTATGGAGGATGCAAACGTGCCCCCACCACCCTCCCCGAGCACGCACTCTGCTCATCTAATGCCCCGTCAGGCTCAGCAGCCTTTTTTGTGCACAATAATAAATACTCCATTTGTGGAGTCCTGTAGCTCAGTGGTTAGAGCACTCGCTTTGCAAGCGAGAGACCTGAGTTCAATTCCAGGCAGAGGGCGAAACCTCGGGCAAGTTTCCTTACTCCACACAGAGCCTAATAATAATCCTCCAAAAAACAAAAACAATAATAAATTGGTCATTTTCAATCTACGACTGTTTGTGGGACATTGCTGTGCGCAATTGGCTGCCACGTTCACCCACAAATATACAGTCAACTCACTTTACAGTATATTCTGTGAAGCGCTTTGGGACGTCCTCCCGACTTGAAAAGCGCTATATCAAATGCAAGGATTATTATTATTATTATTACTAAACATCCGGCCGCTCGGTGAATTATAAATTCATACGGAGGATTGTTGGCTGGGACAAGGGAGAGTGGGTGGGGAGGCAGAGAAATTTCCATCTTTCAAAGGGCACGACGGGCGGGAGGTGAGACATCGTGGGGGTAAAGGTGCCATACGTACACCTAAACACCCCCCCCCCCCATCACCTCTGCCACTACCAATCTCCATGTGTAGCCCTGTAGCTCAGTGGTCAGAGCAAGCGGGAGACCTGGGTTCGATTCCCAATAGGGCAAAATGTTGGGCAAATTTCCGCATGCCCGTTTACCCAGCAGTAAGGACCCAGTTGTTAGTTGATTGGCAGGGGTTGCATTACCTTTAAAACATATTGGTCACTCAATCCACTGTTTGTGCCCAACTGGCTGCTGTGTTTTGCCCACAAATAGTGCATTCAGCATGTTCTGTGAAGCTCTTTGAGATACCTCAAAGACTTGATAGCGTGATAAGGCTGTTAAAAGTGCCATACCGAAATTCAAGGATTATTATTTTTATGCGCTGGTTGTGATAATTGTTATCCATAACCGGGATCCCCTCCCCTCTCGGGCTCTAAAGTAAACCATGGTTTAGTTGATTTATTGGTTAATCCATCTCCACAACCAATGCCAAACCTTCAGTGGGTATTACCTCAATTGTGAAATCCACCCTCAGGGTGACTGTGGGTTTAGTCACCCTCTCGTCAACGCTTACTGGGGCTTTCTAAGTATCCATTAATAATAATTTGGTTAAGGATTATCATTTTTATTATTATTTGACACCAATTTTCTCAAAATGTCGTTGCTTTTGCCCGAAACCGAGGCAGTTTGCCGGGGTGAGGATGCTGAAGCTCGGCTGGAAATGCCGATTCCTGAAGTCGCAGATGTTCATGGCCTCCAGCGTCAGATACACCAGGTGAGTTGTGTGGTTTATGTGCCCTCTGTCACCTCCTAGAACATTTCCAACCTGTCCGCTCCCTATGCTTCCACATCCCCTGCCCGCTCTACCATTGGCGGTCAGGACTTTAGCCTTTCTGCCTCCACCTTCTGTAACTCCTTCCTCTTCGTCCGTGCCTTTGGTCATCTTCCCAACCCTCTGGACTCCAGCCCACAGCTTGGGCGCAAACCTTGGACTGTTCAGAGGCTTGGGATGTCCTCCTGATGTGAAAGTTGTTGTTTGATCGCTGGTCTAGAGGGAAATTAATCATTTTGTCTTCTCTTTCAGTCAGGCTGGTCGCTCTGTGAGCTCCTGGTTCCTGCGTCGGCCCCAGCACTTGCTCTTTCTGTGCCGACCGCTCAGCGAGACAAGCGCTAAAGGTAAGAGTTGGACTGTGGTGTGTTGTGTTCTGATTCCGGCATAAGAGAGGGAGAGTGAGAGAGAGTGGGAGAGGGAGCGACGGAGGGGAATGGAAGTTTTTTTAGGGGTCAGCCGGGTGTCTGACACATGCAGAAACCCATCACAGTGCTTAAAAAAGTCTCAAAACCAAACTGAGAATTCCATGCATCCCACCTACACTGGGAAATAAATCCCCGCGATAGATTGTTGGAATGCAATGTGCCCACACTCTCTCTTTTTCTCTCCCTGGATGGTCGCATCCTACTTACCTAATTCTGGAGAGTATTAGGCACAGGTTGGCAAGAGCTAAGTCTTGGGAGCCCAGAATGGGCTTTGGGGTAACTGCTGGAGTCTAACCGGCTGAAATTGCATAGTTTTCCATTAGAGCGAAGTTTCGCAAGCTTTCCCGCAGCTGGAGTAAGAGAGCGAGAAAAAGGAGGAAGTGAGATTGAGAGAGAAAGAGTGTAAGAGTGAGAAAAAGAAAAAAATGAGAGGAAGAAATACAAACCAACCATAACTACTACTTGCATTTATAGACACTCTCAGCATCTCAGAGCGAATAACAATGCGTGAAAGGAGAGTGAAAGAAAGAGAAAACACGAGAGAAAGAAAAAAGAGGGCAGGAAAGAAGAAATAATTCCTTCAAAAAAACATAAAAATAATTGGGTTACTCAATCCATGATTGTTTGTGCGACACTGTTGTGTACAATTGGTTGCTGTGTTTTGCCAACAATATATACAGTCAATTCACTTTAGTTTATTCGCTGTGAGACGTCTCAAAGGTGTGATAAGGCGCTGTATCAAATGAAAGGATTGTTGTTATAAGAGAGGGAGAAAGAGAGTGAGGGAGGTAGGAATGAGAAAGGAATGAAAGAATAATGAGGCGAGAAGGAAATTAAAGAGAGAAAAAGGAATGAGAAAAGAATGAGATAGAGAGAGCGAGAAAGGGAATGCGAGGAGAGAGAAAGGAATGAAATAGAGGGAGATAAGGGCATTAGCGAGTAGGGGAAATGGCAAGAAATCAAAATTAAAGACGCTATATCTGAATGCATGAAGCATTCGTAATAAGATAGCAAATTAATGACACAAAGAGAAATAAACAGGTATGATCTAGTAGCTGTTACTGAGATGTGGTTAAAGGGAGATCAAGGGTGGGTGCTAAATATTCCAGGGAATTTGGCATATAGGAAAGATAGGCAATGTGGAAAACAAAGTGGGGGGGTAACCCTGCTAATAAAGGATGGGATAGAAACAGTGGAGAGGAAGGATTTTAAATCAGAACTTCAGGATGTAGAAGTCAGTATAGGTGGAATTATGAAATAACAAAAGGCAGAAGCACTAGTGGGAGTAGTTTATAGACCCCCGAACAGCACTCACAGTATTGCGCAGAGTATTAACCAGGAAGTTAGTGGAGTATGTAGCAAAGGAAATACACTAATAGTGGGTGATTTTAATCTTCATATAAAATGGGAAAACCAAATTCGCAAAAGTAAGTTAGAGGAGGAGTTTATAGAATGTATTAGAGATAGTTTTCCAGATCAATATGATGAGGAACCAACGAGGAAACAGGCGATCAGCAACAACATTATATTTGTATAGCGCCTTTCACATCGGGATTGCGTCCCAAGGCGCTGGACAGAGTATAGCATTTCAGACCCAAGCTGGGGTCGGGAGGGGAAGGGGGGTGGCTGATGGCATGGTCGAAGGAGTGGGTTAAGCAATCTGGAAGTTAAGGCTCCTCTAGGGCAGTGACCTTAACATGATGGAATTTAGCATTAAGTTACAGAGTGATGTAGTTAAGTCCGAAGTAAGGATCTTAAATAGAGCCAACTTTGCAGGTCTGAGAGGATTTAGCTAAAATAGACTGGGGAACTAGATTAAAGGATATGACAGTAGACCAGCAATGGCAAACCTTTAAAAATATAGTACATAATTCCCAGCGATCACATATTCCCTTGAGGAATAAAAATATCACGGGAAAAGTGGTTCAACCATGGCTAACTAGAGCAGTTAGGGAAAGTATACAATTAAAAGGAGACCTATAATACTGCCAAAAAGAGCAGTAAACCTGACGATTGGGAGGACTTCAGAGACCAACAAAGAAAGACTAAGAAACTGATTAGGAGGGAGAAAATGGATTATGAGGGCAAACTAACTAGGAACATAAAGACAGACTGCAGGAGTCTTTATAAATACATAAAGAGGAAGACACTATCAAATGTGAATGTGGGTCCATTACAGGCAGAGACGGGAGAAATTATAATGGGGGGATAAAGATATGGCAGAGTCATCAAACAAATACTTTGTTTCTGTCTTCATATTAGAAGACACTGAAAACTTACCAAAAATAGAGGGGAACCAACGTTAATGTTAGTGAGCAACTTAGGGAAATTAACATCAGTATAGAATTAGTACGAGGGAAGCTGTTGGGATTCAAAGATGATAAATCCCCTGGACCTGATGGCCTGCATCCGAGGGTTTTAAAAGAGTTGGCTTCTTAAATAGTGGTACGTTTGCAATCTTCCAATCAATGGGAACCGTTCCAGAATCCAGAGAATTTTGGAAGATCAAAAACAAGGCATCCACTATCTCAGAAGCCAACTCTTTTAAAACCCTCGGATGCAGGCCATCAGGTCCAGGGGATTTATCATCTTTGAATCCCAACAGCTTCCCTCGTACTAATTCTATACTGATGTTAATTTCCCTAAGTTGCTCACTAACATTAACGTTGGTTCCCCTCTATTTTTGGTAAGTTTTCAGTGTCTTCTAATATGAAGACAGAAGCAAAGTATTTGTTTGATGACTCTGCCATATCTTTATCCCCCCATTATAATTTCTCCCGTCTCTGCCTGTAATGGACCCACATTCACTTTTGATAGTCTCTTCCTCTTTATGTATTTATAAAGACTCCTGCAGTCTGTCTTTATGTTCCTAGTTAGTTTGCCCTCATAATCCATTTTCTCCCTCCTAATCAGTTTCTTAGTCTTTCTTTGTTGGTCTCTGAAGTCCTCCCAATCGTCAGGTTTACTGCTCTTTTTGGCAGTATTATAGGTCTCCTTTTAATTGTATACTTTCCCTAACTGCTCTAGTTAGCCATGGTTGAACCACTTTTCCCGTGATATTTTTATTCCTCAAGGGAATATGTGATCGCTGGGAATTATGTACTATATTTTTAAAGGTTTGCCATTGCTGGTCTACTGTCATATCCTTTAATCAAGTTCCCCAGTCTATTTTAGCTAAATCCTCTCAGACCTGCAAAGTTGGCTCTATTTAAGATCCTTACTTCGGACTTAACTACATCACTCTGTAACTTAATGCTAAATTCCATCATGTTAAGGTCACTGCCCTAGAGGAGCCTTAACTTCCAGATTGCTTAACCCACTCCTTCGACCATGCCATCAGCCACCCCCCTTCCCCTCCCGACCCCAGCTTGGGTCTGAAATGCTATACTCTGTCCAGCGCCTTGGGACGCACTCCCGATGTGAAAGGCGCTATACAAATATAATGTTGTTGCTGATCGCCTGTTTCCTCATTGCTTCCTCATCATATTGATCTGGAAAACTAATGCATTTATAAACTCCTCCTCTAACTTACTTTTGCCAATTTGGTTTTCCCATTTTATATGAAGATTAAAATCACCCACTATTAGTGTATTTCCTTTGCTACATACTCCACTAACTTCCTGGTTAATACTCTGCGCAATACTGTGAGTGCTGTTCGGGGGTCTATAAACTACTCCCACTACTGCTTCTGCCTTTTGTTATTTCATAATTCCACCTATACTGACTTCTACATCCTGATGTTCTGATTTAAAATCCTTCCTCTCCACTGTTTCTATCCCATCCTTTATTAGCAGGGTTACCCCCCCACTTTGTTTTCCACATTGCCTATCTTTCCTATATGCCAAATTCCCTGGAATATTTAGCACCCACCCTTGATCTCCCTTTAACCACATCTCAGTAACAGCTACTAGATCATACCTGTTTATTTCTCTTTGTGTCATTAATTTGCTATCTTATTACGAATGCTTCATGCATTCAGATATAGCGTCTTTAATTTTGATTTCTTGCCATTTCCCCTACTCGCTAATGCCCTTATCTCCCTCTATTTCATTCCTTTCTCTCTCCTCGCATTCCCTTTTCTCGCTCTCTCTATCTCATTCTTTTCTCATTCCTTTTTCTCTCTTTAATTTCCTTCTCGCCTCATTATTCTTTCATTCCTTTCTCATTCCTACCTCCCTCACTCTCTTTCTCCCTCTCTTATAACAACAATCCTTTCATTTGATACAGCGCCTTATCACACCTTTGAGACGTCTCACAGCGAATAAACTAAAGTGAATTGACTGTATATATTGTTGGCAAAACACAGCAACCAATTGTACACAACAGTGTCGCACAAACAATCATGGATTGAGTAACCCAATTATTTTTATGTTTTTTTGAAGGAATTATTTCTTCTTTCCTGCCCTCTTTTTTCTTTCTCTCGTGTTTTCTCTTTCTTTCACTCTCCTTTCACGCATTGTTATTCGCTCTGAGATGCTGAGAGTGTCTATAAATGCAAGTAGTAGTTATGGTTGGTTTGTATTTCTTCCTCTCATTTTTTTCTTTTTCTCACTCTTACACTCTTTCTCTCTCAATCTCACTTCCTCCTTTTTCTCGCTCTCTTACTCCAGCTGCGGGAAAGCTTGCGAAACTTCGCTCTAATGGAAAACTATGCAATTTCAGCCGGTTAGACTCCAGCAGTTACCCCAAAGCCCATTCTGGGCTCCCAAGACTTAGCTCTTGCCAACCTGTGCCTAATACTCTCCAGAATTAGGTAAGTAGGATGCGACCATCCAGGGAGAGAAAAAGAGAGAGTGTGGGCACATTGCATTCCAACAATCTATCGCGGGGATTTATTTCCCAGTGTAGGTGGGATGCATGGAATTCTCAGTTTGGTTTTGAGACTTTTTAAGCACTGTGATGGGTTTCTGCATGTGTCAGACACCCGGCTGACCCCCCAAAAAACTTCCATTCCCCTCCGTCGCTCCCTCTCCCACTCTCTCTCACTCTCCCTCTCTTATGCCGCAATCAGAACACAACACACCACAGTCCAACTCTTACCTTTAGCGCTTGTCTCGCTGAGCGGTCGGCACAGAAAGAGCAAGTGCTGGGGCCGACGCAGGAACCAGGAGCTCACAGAGCGACCAGCCTGACTGAAAGAGAAGACAAAATGATTAATTTCCCTCTAGACCAGCGATCAAACAACAACTTTCACATCAGGAGGACATCCCAAGCCTCTGAACAGTCAAAGGTTTGCGCCCAAGCTGTGGGCTGGAGTCCAGAGGGTTGGGAAGATGACCAAAGGCACGGACGAAGAGGAAGGAGTTACAGAAGGTGGAGGCAGAAAGGCTAAAGTCCTGACCGCCAATGGTAGAGCGGGCAGGGGATGTGGAAGCATAGGGAGCGGACAGGTTGGAAATGTTCTAGGAGGTGACAGAGGGCACACAAACCACACAACTCACCTGGTGTATCTGACGCTGGAGGCCATGAACATCTGCGACTTCAGGAGTCGGCATTTCCAGCCGAGCTTCAGCATCCTCACCCCGGCAAACTGCCTCGGCGGGCAAAAGCAACGACATTTTGAGAAAATTGGTGTCAAATAATAATAAAAATGATAATCCTTAACCAAATTATTATTAATGGATACTTAGAAAGCCCCAGTAAGCGTTGACGAGAGGGTGACTAAACCCACAGTCACCCTGAGGGTGGATTTCACAATTGAGGTAATACCCACTGAAGGTTTGGCATTGGTTGTGGAGATGGATTAACCAATAAATCAACTAAACCATGGTTTACTTTAGAGCCCGAGAGGGGAGGGGATCCCGGTTATGGATAACAATTATCACAACCAGCGCATAAAAATAATAATCCTTGAATTTCGGTATGGCACTTTTAACAGCCTTATCACGCTATCAAGTCTTTGAGGTATCTCAAAGAGCTTCACAGAACATGCTGAATGCACTATTTGTGGGCAAAACACAGCAGCCAGTTGGGCACAAACAGTGGATTGAGTGACCAATATGTTTTAAAGGTAATGCAACCCCTGCCAATCAACTAACAACTGGGTCCTTACTGCTGGGTAAACGGGCATGCGGAAATTTGCCCAACATTTTGCCCTATTGGGAATCGAACCCAGGTCTCCCGCTTGCTCTGACCACTGAGCTACAGGGCTACACATGGAGATTGGTAGTGGCAGAGGTGATGGGGGGGGGGTGTTTAGGTGTACGTATGGCACCTTTACCCCCCACGATGTCTCACCTCCCGCCCGTCGTGCCCTTTGAAAGATGGAAATTTCTCTGCCTCCCCACCCACTCTCCCTTGTCCCAGCCAACAATCCTCCGTATGAATTTATAATTCACCGAGCGGCCGGATGTTTAGTAATAATAATAATAATAATCCTTGCATTTGATATAGCGCTTTTCAAGTCGGGAGGACGTCCCAAAGCGCTTCACAGAATATACTGTAAAGTGAGTTGACTGTATATTTGTGGGTGAACGTGGCAGCCAATTGCGCACAGCAATGTCCCACAAACAGTCGTAGATTGAAAATGACCAATTTATTATTGTTTTTGTTTTTTTGGAGGATTATTATTAGGCTCTGTGTGGAGTAAGGAAACTTGCCCGAGGTTTCGCCCTCTGCCTGGAATTGAACTCAGGTCTCTCGCTTGCAAAGCGAGTGCTCTAACCACTGAGCTACAGGACTCCACAAATGGAGTATTTATTATTGTGCACAAAAAAGGCTGCTGAGCCTGACGGGGCATTAGATGAGCAGAGTGCGTGCTCGGGGAGGGTGGTGGGGGCACGTTTGCATCCTCCATAACCAGTCAGTCAAACAGAAGCTAGAGATAGTAATAGTAATGCTTGCATTGTATATAGTGCGTTATCATGTTTTCGAGACGTCTCTAATCCCTTCACAGAATATACCGTAAAGTATAGTGACCATATTTTGTGGGTGAAAAGCAGCAGCAGCTAATGCCACACAAGAGTGTCCCACAAACACCATCCCTCGTGGATTGAGTCACCAAATGTTTACCAAATGGTTTATTAACACGGGAAGAGCAATCCGACCTTCGACTTAAACAACCGGATGACTATTTACTGCCTGGGATTTCACCCAGCCCAGGAATTAAACCGAGGTCTCTTGCAAGGCGAGCAATCTAACCACTCTTAACAGGACTCCACGACAGTAGAGGAGCTCCCAGTCATTTGCCAACACAATCAGTTGCTCACCTCTGGTGTCTTTGGTGGAAGCTTGCCTGTTCTAGCGTGTTCAGCACATTTCCCCCTGCACCTTCTTCTCTCACTCTGGCTGCTCTACGGAAGCACTTTTGCTTTCGTCAACTCCAATCTCTCATCGAGGCAGGTAAATGGGTGTGTGTTGGGCAGGTAGGGCAAACTTACTGATTCCAACCTCAACATCCGTCATCAAAAACAATCTGCATTCATTCAAACAACCAGAATATTCAAGTCAAAAGTAGTTTTCACAGTCAAAGCACTCGTCCATGATTTCGTCACCTCCCAAATTAACTTTTGAAATGCCCTCTTCGCCGACCTCTCCAGCTCTGCCGTGCACAGGATCCAGTTGATCCAAACCTTTGCCGCCCACATATTCTCCCGTACTAAACTCCGTACCTGCGTTACCAGACGGGCTCCATAACGCCAAGCAGATCAATTTCAAGATCCTCACAGTAGTTTCCAAAACCCTTCACGCCTTGGCACCTCCCTGCCTCTCCGACCTGCTTACTCCCCAACCCACTACCCGCTGCTTCCGCTTAACTGGCTCCAGCCTCCTGCAGGTCCCTCGTGCCCTCCGTTCCACCATTTTTCCAGCGCCTTGAGATGTCCTCCTGCTGTGAAAGGCGCTATCCACGTGTAATTTTTTGTTTGTTGGCGGCTGTGCTTCCAGCCACTATGCTCCGAAAATCTGGAACAATCTTCCTCTATTCCGCTGCCTTTCCCCTTCCTTCCCCATTTTCAGGTCGCGCCTGAACACCTTCCTATTCGACCGTGCGGTCACCTCCCACCGACTCAGCGTCGTGCTCCGCCACTGTTAAGCGCTCTGGCCTGCGTGAGGGGTGCAAGTTGTTGTTGCTTTAAACCCATTTGCTCATAGTGGTGGTTGGGGGGGTGGGGGGGGGGGGGAGTAAGGAAATATATCCGTGAGAGGGAGGATTGTTGGCTGGGACACGGGGATAAATCCTTCACAACAGACCAAGTCGGGCACAAGTAGTGGGAAGCTCAGTGTAAAAGTCTCACCCAAAGGACGGCGCCTCCGACAATGCAGTGCTCCCCCCACACCCCATTTGAGCACTGTGCTCGAGGGTCAGCCTGGGCTGAGAGCTCCAGGTGGGACTTGAACCCACGATCCCACCCCATCCTCCTCCGGGCCCCTGAAGGTCGCAGAGAGACGCTGAATAAAAAAAAAATCAGTACGTGGTATCTCCTGGCTTTGCGACTTCCTGTTGCGAAAAGCAGCAGCAAGAAGAAAAGGAATCGAGAGAGACAGAAAAATGCTGAGACTGTAAAAATATAAATTAATCCGAGAGGCTTTAGGCAGCACAGCCCAGCCCTCAGCCAGAGGGCGTATCAACTCCAAAATTACTGTGCCTCGTCTAATGCAAATGAAAGGGAATTAAATAGGATTCATGCGTGGAGGAAGGCTCAAAAAGTCTTGCGAGTTTGGGGGTTTTGTGGGGGTTTTAGCGAGTGAGCACTTACCTCCCTCAGGGCTGCATGAACCTAATGTCCTCTGCGCTGGTCACTTGACAAACAAGCCTGCCCCAGTTTCAGCCTATCTCTGCGGCTATTTTAAACTGGATGCTGTGAAGATATTTTGGGGGAGGTGATTTCCTCTCTCTCTCTCTCTCTCTCTTTCTCTTTCTCGTTTTCTAGTTTCTAAATGCTAAGCGCTGAAGCAAGGGCAAAATTTATCCGCAGACTGCGCCGTCGAGAAAGAGAAGAGACGCACGATCAGACAGAGAAGTCGCATTTTTGGAGCACAGAATAATATAACATCCTTGCTTTTGAGACGGCGCATTATCACATTATATTGAGACGTCTCAAGAAAGCTTCGCAGGACATACTGTAAAGTGAATCGACTGTGTATTTTGTGGCTGTTTTGCCCACGGCGTATACATCCCTAATGCTAAATGACTCACTATTTTCCATGATCTCTGGGCAGGTCTAGTCACTACTGTGCTTCCATAGGAAGCGAACACAGGTGCTAATTTTCTCAAACACGAACACATGCACACACACCCTCCGCACCCACACCCCCCACACACACAGACACACGCACAAACACACATCTTGGGAGTATTAAGCTTCCATCCGGCCATGCACTGAACGGGAGCTGAGTTTAACATCTCAACTGAAGGACGGAGCCTCAAACGATGCATTGCTCCCCCCAACACTGCGCCAGCAGCAGTGAGCATTGGGAGGGTTGACCATGTAGTTACGGGACGGTCCCAGCCCTTACTTGACGCTCAGTTTTCAGTTATTAATTTCCCCCCCAAAGTCAGGATCAGCCGGGATAACACGTGGAACCTCAACACTTTTCACTCCCAATTTCCAAGTCCTTACCTCGTCCTGTCCTGATCTCCGGGCAGGACGATGGCTGCATCACGTGGACGGAGCAATGACCCTCATGCTTTGGGTCGTGCTGACGTCCGTTGACCCACACAAACACGGAACTGTGAGAGAGGATGTCTGCCCACTCTCTGTACAGATCTCCCAACAACCACCCCCCCAACCTCGCATACACACACACGTGGCACGCTCACACGCACACACTTGTGCAGGTGGTTTCCACGCACAATCACAACCAGTTCTGAACTGAACGCGATACAGTTGCTGATGTGGAGATGGTTTGGGTTCAGGAGCCCCCTCTCATGGCTTGTTGGCCAAACCCTTGCCCCTTACTCTCTAATTCACAAGATTCCACATCCAAACAAACATGTCTCTGTACTTGTCTACGCTCGGTCTCTCTCTATCTACCCCTCCCCATCCACCAAACACACACACACACACACACACACACACACACTGGAGCTCTCTATTCTAATCCCATTCCACTGCTCTCTTCCCCATCGTGTCTGTGCTGGCACTTGCTCCCCCACTGGAGCTCTGTGTTTAATTCACTGCTTAATCTGATGGAACAGCTGCGATGGGCTGAATTGTTGTTTTTGGAGGGATTCTTAGCCGCCGAAAAGCGTTTAACCAATTGACTAATAACTGGGTTCCTACTTACTGCTAGGGAAACAGAGGCGTTTGGAGTAAGGAAATTTGCCTAAGGTTTTGCCCTGCCAGACATCGAACCCGGGTCCTCTCGCTTACAAGGCTAAGCCACAGCCCCTTCCCTGGCAGCACCTTCACTGAAAGGGTTAAAGAAGACAGCGACACACAAGTCAGGGCGACGGTTCATGTTTCCACTTTTATTTTAAAAATCCCGGGTAAAACACGTCACATTGTCCGGGCAACGCGATCACCAGGACATCACCAAAGGCCACGGGTTTGTAAATGCCACATCGAAGGGCAGACAGCACGAACCGGGTAAACTCCTTTACCATAATATAATTACCCCCTTTCCTCCCTCCCTCCCCCCCTCCCCCACCCCATGACGGGGTTATGTCCCCTCCAATAGCACCCACAAGGTGAGGAGTTTGGGGTTCAAGGCTTTGCCTTGAGAGAATTCTGATCATCATTCCTCCTGGACTGTAGAGTTAGCACTAGGCGGTGCTCATGAGTCTCACGTATGTGCTAAGCTCATGATCTGTTTGCCGGTGTGGGTGGGTGGGGCGGGGCGAAGGTTGTGGGGCAAGTTTGGGGCATGTGATGTGTAAATTAGCACAAGGCACGGGACTGAATAATCCTTGCATTTAATACCACACCCCCTGCCCGCCATGTCACGTCAGAACATCGCGCTAATAGTGTGTGGTGAGCAAATCGACAGACAGTCTGGAGGGCGGGGAATCGAGCCTTGATTTAAAAGCCTTAATTACAAAATTAATGGGGGAAAAAAATCACTCGCACCACTTAAAAAAATGGCAGCAGCTATTCATCCAGCACTGGACTGAACTGGGTGACGGGAGAAACTATTTTTATTAAGTTTGGGGCGAGGGCGTCAAGAACCAACTGGTGACCGAGAATTGGATACCGAAGGGAGTGTGTGTGTGTGTAGTGTATTTGGGTGGGTGAGGTGGGGGGGTTTGGGGGTGTGACATTCCTGTACCTTGTGCTAAATATCACATCTCAAGACAGAACGCGGAAGGGACGAGGCAGGTGGTGGTGGTGGGGTGGAGGGAAAGAGGGCGAGCGATGTCACCCGGTTTTGGGTTCAAACCCACTTTTTTCCGCTTCGATAAATATATAAAAAGTTAACCTTTAAAACTATCTCCTCTCACCCACTCCTCCCTCCCTCCCTCCCTCCCCCCAAACCATGATGTAAATTTACAAGGTGTCAAGGCGTTAAGCTATTATGAATAGTTCTGGTATTATTTTAGTAATTTTTTTGTCGTTTTCACGTATATAAAAAGAATTTTTTTTTTTTTAGTCGTCCAAATGCCCCCCAGCGCGGAGACTCAGGTACAAAAACCGGTTAATAAAACTCTCTCTCTCTATATAAAGTACAATGCAAATAAGTAACACTGTTCCAGCTCATACGAAAGATTCAGATTCCCTGATTTCACAGAGGGTTTAAGTCGGGTTCGAAACCCAACACAACAGCAACGACAACACACATTAATGTAAAATAACTTTACGGCTCTGTAAAAAAAAGCACTATAATGGGTCTGAAATCCACTTTATCTTACCTTGTCCATTACCCCCCCGCGCATACCCGACCAACAAGAATTTGAGTGTTAAAAACTCTGTTCAACGCCACTCCCCCCCCCCCCCCCACCCCACCCCCACACGCACTGAGTTTAACGCACTCATTAAACCTGCACAGGGAGCTCGACTCGAGCTGTGAAAACAGGCGCACACGCTTGTGTTCATGCGCATCGCTGATTTACGCCACGGGAGCAGTTTGCGTTTTAATAACATCAATAATAATCCTTGCATTTGATATGGCGCCTTATCACGTCCTTGAGATGTCTGAAAGCGCTTCACAGGATATACTGTAAAGTGAATCGGCTGTATATTTTGTGGGGCACACGCGGAAGCCAAAAATTGCGCACAGCAGCGCTCCACAAACAGCCGTGGATTGAGTGACCAATTTACTACAGTATTATTACCGCTGGAAAGCGATCCGTTAATTGACTAACAACCGGGTTCCTACTTACTGCTGGGCAAACAGAGCCGTGTGGAGTAAGGAAACTTGCGCAAGGTTTTGTCCTCCCCAGGAATCGAACCCGGGTCCTCTCGCCTGCGGGGCGAGAGCTCTAACCACTGAGCTACAGGACTCTACATTAATTACTTAACAATGAGCTTGGAGGCAGATATCGAATGAATTTACACGAACGCAAGTGCGCGGGGCGAACCTCACATTGCGCGTGGTGATCGTCCCACGCGTAAATATCACGTCAGGCGTGTAAATATCATGTCACGTGTTGGAATACTTACGGACAGGAGCACCAAGGTCAACGTTGCGTGTGGAAAGCTGGCGACAGAACAAGCAAACTCCAAACTCTCCTGACCCCAATCGTTCTTAAAACAATTCCCCCGACAGACACCCCACTTCCCTGAAAACACAGAGACTCATCAATCGATGCATTTGATTTCACCCCCTGCCCCCACCCAGCCACAGAATTACAAGGCACATAGAGAGATGGGAGGGGGGGTGGAGGCTGGCACAAAGAGGGAGAGAGGGAGGGATGGTGTGGCACAGAGAAGGGGGGAGGCGGGGGGGAAATTGAGTTGGCTTCAACGTTGATCTCTCCACATCCCACTTGTTCGCACGGAGGAATGAAACATCATCAGCTTCCAGTTACGACAGACTCTGCCCTCTCCCCCTCCTCCCCTACGGCTCTTGTCAAGTTGCGTACGGAATATTCCATCACCGCCACCACCTGTCACTGTTCCACTTTTCCGGGGAAGGAATGAACGAATCTCCATCCCCTCCTGTTGACTTTCCGAACATTTGCTCGTTCCTCTCCGGTCTCACCGAGGAAACTATTGTGTTCTTTTCTTTCGGTTTTTGGCAGAGTTTTTTTTCCATCCCTTTTTGTTTTGCATCGATGAAAACAAGAGTTTTTTTTCTCCAATATATATATATATATATAAAAAGAGAAACGGGGAAAGTTGTGTGTGTGTGTGTATGTGTGTGTGTGTATGTGGTGGAGGGTAGAGGGTGTGGATGGATGGGGGTGAGGGAGAGAGAGAAAGGCTTTTTTTGTTTCGTCATCACAAGGCTTTCCTGGGAGAATTCTCTCCAAATTCCTTCCTTCGTCCCACGTCGTTTAGTCTCTCAGTCTTGAGGACAGAGTTTTCAGGAGAAAGAGAGAGTCAGACACACACACTTAGAGAGAGGCTTCCAGTCCGTGTGTGTCTCCGATGTAGGACAGAGCAGGTGAGTTCGAACAATCCGAGAGAGAGAGCGAGACTGGGTATGGGGGGTTGTGGTGTGTGTGTCTGTGTGTGTGGGGGGGGAGGTGGTGGGGGAAGAAAAAGGAGGAGAGTTTGGGGTCCCCCAGTCTCTCAGCTCATGAACTGTGTGTAGCCCTCCGCCCCCGTCACGATGACGTCCATCCAGATACGCATGGCCTCTGGCGTGGGGGCCACCATGAAGTACAGACGGTCGTGAGTTTTCACACAGAAGGTGAGCGCAGGATTCGGGCTCTGCAAACCAACAGCAACACCGTCAATTACCAGCAGAGTCGTCACAGGAGCACACGCCCCACCTCACGTCACGCCCCAAGCCACGGGGAGAACACGCCCCAAGCCACGGGGAGAACACGCCTCACACATGGGACTCATGGTATTGGGGGGCGGGGGAGGGAGGAGGTGTTCTTTATCTGAAGAGTTTTGAAGACAGAAAACCAGAACCACAGGGGAGAAGTGTTTCTCGCCCACGAGCTGTTAGGGTCTGGAACGCACTGCACTGCACTGCCTGATCCGGGGGTGGAAGCACAATCGATAGTAGCTTTCAAAAGGGAATTTGACAGGGACTTGAGAAGGAAAAATTTGCAGGGCAATGGGGTAAGAGCGCGGTGGGGAGCGGGACTAGTCGGTAGCTCTTTCAAAGAACACGCCCGGCACACGCACAATGGGCCGAATGGCCTCCTTCCGTGCTGTGAGATTCTATGATTCTAGGAGGAGGTACGACGGCAACTTGTGTTTATACGATGCTTATTCACGGAGGGACACTTTGGCAAAGCGGTGCAAGGAGGGGGTCTGGGCTGTCACGGTGGAGCGGTGAGGGTTAATTTTGAGAGGTGGGGGGTGGGGGGGGAAGAGGAGTGCAACTCCTCACCTTCGAGGCGCTCCTGAGATGATCGTAATAAACCTCCTCGATAGCCTGGAAGTAAATCACTCCCTTTAGCTTAATCTCGTGTTTATCTGGAGAGGAAGCAGATAGACTCCAGTTAGAAACTAAACACCGATGCCTGCAGCTGATGTAAATCATCCTCAAGTCAGACCCCAGAACCCACCTCCCCGTGATGTAGTGACTGTGCGCTTGTCGGTTATAAGCAGCCTCACAGTGACCAGCTTCCCTGGGGAGGGTGTGTGTGCATCGGGGGGAGAAATATATCAAATTTGATATATCACGTCATTGAGATGTCTCAAAGCGCTTCACAGGATACACTGTAAAGTGTAGTGACTGTGTATTTTGTGGGCGAAACTCGGCAGCCAATTGCGCACAGCAGCGTCCCACAAACAGTCGTGGGTTGAGCGACCAAATTACTGTTATTTATTTATTGCGAGGGATTATTACCCCCGGAAAAGCGATCCACCAATTGGCTGACACGTGGGTTCCCGCTTACTGCTGGGTAAACAGAGGCAGGGCCGTTCGTGCGTGTGCGTGTGCGTGTGCGTGGAGTAAGGAACCTTGCCTAAAGTTTTGCCCTGCCAAGAAATTAAACCCGGACCTCCGCTTGCGAGGCGAGCGCTCTCACAACTACGCTACAGTACACCCGGGCGGAAAAAAAACAACCCAAACGCATCTCACCGGCAAAGTAAGTTAATGTGCGTTTCATTCTGTCGAACACGAACCAGCGTCTGCGCCAGGATTTGATTTTGCCGCCCATTTTGGTCAGGTGTCCCTTACACATCCTCTCGGTCAGGCTGACCTGGTAGCAGGTCTCCAGGTTGTGTCCGCACGACTCAATGTGTGACCGCAGGTCGAAGTCCTCTTTCCGTATGGGCAGGTAGCGGGTCAGAGGTCGGGCCTGGAACCCATTCACAGCAATAATGTTTTTATTCACCCACAAAATATACAGTCAAATTCACTTTACAGCCCATCTTGTGAAGTCGTGGTGGCTTCTGATCGTCGTCTCGCCGGATCGCAAGCGACTGGGTGTCTCAATAATAATAATAATAATATTAGTAATAATCCTTGAATTTGAAGCAGCGCTTCATCACGTCTCCGCGATGTCTCAAATCGCTTCATAGGATATCCGTAAAGTGAATTGACTGTGCATTTTGTGAGCAAATGTAGTAAGTGACCCAAGGTGACCCCCTTTACAAATTGCTACACCCCACCAGCTGGGGCTTAACACCCCTCACCACTCCCCGCTCTACCCCCCAACCCCCGCCCTACCCCCTGCCCAGCCAACACGTACCTGGGAGAAGTTTTTCTCTCTCATCTTCACCTCTCTGTCCACCAGCTGCTGCCTGTGCACCGTCTCCTCCTGAAGCCGCTTCTCCAGTTCCTCCCGTCGCTTCCTCTCCTCCTCAAAGGCGTGACGCCGGAACTCCATCTCCCGCTCCTGGTGGGGAGGGGGCGAGGGAAGAGTTGGGGTGGGGGAGAGAAAGGAAACATTCGATCTTCAGGAACAGCACTCAGCAACCCACAAGAAGATATCCCAATATCCCGTCCGACCACGCCCTCTGTCCTGGGTGTTGGAATGGTTTCCCCCCCTCACCCACCCATCACCCTGTTTCCTGGTCTCGCTCAGGACATCCCACCCAGCCCTCCGAGCTCTGGTTTGTGGCAGCGACTGAGCCCCCGCCCCCCACCCCCCGCAGCCCCATCCCTTCCAGGAGGAGACCTACCCGTGTCTCCAGCAAACGAGCTTTCTCTGCCTGCGCCTCTTTCAGCAACTTCTCCATCTCCTCAATCTTCGTCACGTCAACACCACTGGCACTGAGAGAGGGAATGAGAGGGGAGGTGGGGAGAGAGGGAACGAGGGTGTGGGTGGGGGGAAGAAGGGGAATGAGAGGCGGCGGGGGGGGGGGGAGAGAGAAGGAGGGAGAGAGATGGGACGAGGGGGGTGGGGGAGAGAGAGGAAACGACACCAAATTATATTCGTATCGCACCATTCACATCTGGAGGACATCCCTAAGCCCTGGGACGGGAAGGCGAGCCAGGGAGAGGGGGGGAGCGAGACAAAGAGAGAGGGAGAGAGAGAGAGAGAGAGAGAGAGAGGGGGCGAGAGTGAGACAGAGAGAGGAGGGGGGGGGGCGGCGAGTGAGACAGAGAGAGAGTGGGGTGGAGCGAATGGCCGCCTCCTGTTCCTATGCTATATCAAATGCAAGGATTATTATTATTATACGCACTGAAGCCATTTCAGTCACAAAAGGGTTAAGAACTGCCAGGAACGGCGCTGTGGCGGAGGGGGTAAAGTTCACCCAGTGCCAGGCACATGCGCCCCCCACCCCGGGGCATGTGGAGATGGTGGGAGGGAGGCAGCGGCACACTGATCCCAACCAACAGCCTTTACATAAGACTGACACACACACACAGACAGTGTTATATATATATATATATACACACACACACATACATACATACACAGTGTTATATATACACACTCACACACACAGACAGTGATATATATACACACTCACACACACAGACAGTGATATATATACACACTCACACACACACAGACAGTGTTATATATATACGCACACACACATGTACACACACACAGACAGTGTTATATATATATATATATATACACACACACATACACACACACACAGTGTTATATATACACACTCACACACACACAGACAGTGTTATATATATACGCACACACACATATACACACACACACACAGACAGTGTTACATATATACGCACACACACACACAGACAGTGTATATACACACCCAGGCAGTGTTATACACACACAATCACACACGCACACAGGCAGTGTTTTATACACACACACACAGGCAGTGTTTTATACACACACACACAGGCAGTGTTTTATACACACACACACAGGCAGTGTTTTATACACACACACACAGGCAGTGTTTTACACACACACACACAGTGTTATACACACGCGCGCGCGCAGACAGTGGCGAAGTTATACACGTATACAGAATTACTCAATCACACACACACCCTGTCCTCACGCCCCGACCTCTCACCTGCCCCACTTGCTGTAGCCGCCTGGAGTGGCCATGGCTCTGAGCCGAGACCCCCGAACTTCAGACAGTGATTACACAGACACCGCGTGGCCTGTTCCTCGCCAGGACAGCGAGGGGTCAGGTTACCGTGAGCCCGGCGCAGTCTGACTGAGTCACTCTCTCTCTCTCTCTCTCTCTCGGTCTCACTGTTTCGCTCTGTCTCTGCCCCTTTGGCAATGTTCAACGTGTGCAAACAAGGAACAAGTGTGGGAGTTGGGGAGAGGCTGGTGGTAAAACCTGGAGCACATCGTCTCCCACAGTCCCTACCCTCACCCTACGCCCGGCAAGGATTCAGCAATCTCTGCAGAGCCGTACGCCTCTCCCTTTCCCCCCAACCTCTCCCTGTCCCTGTCCCTCTCCACCCCCCAAAAAAAACATAAACAGGCAACTGCTGTGTAAATTCCTTCAAATCCCCGGCACCTCCGCACCTCACGGACCTGCTGACTGCCCCAACTCCGCTACCAACGGCTCTGGCCGGCCTCCTGTTTGTCCCTCGTGCCCTCCGTTCCACCATTGGCCGCCGCGCTTTCATCCCCTACGCCTCGAAAATCTGAGACGCTCTCCCTCAATCCCTCCGCCTTGCCACCTCCTTCCCCATCGTCAGGTCGCGCCCGAAGGCCTCCCTCTTTGACCGTGCCTACGGTCAGCTGCCCCCCTCCCTCTCGCTACCCCGCCTGAGCGTTCAGACCCCAGAGCAAGTTGTTGTTGTCGTCGTCGTCGGAGGAGCTCTGGGGTCTGAGATTTGCTAAGTTGGTGGAAAGGCAGGCCGGCTTGCGAGGGGTTAATGTGGAGGGTGTATATATTTCCGCGCCCTGGGGGAATGAGTCCCGCCTCAGCGACTGTGGCTTTGCCGTCGCGCTTCACAGTCTCGCCCCAGATACAAACTCAAACAACCTGACTTGGGGCGAGGGTTTTGTGAGCAGCCAGACATGCCTGGTTGCGGGGGGGGGGGGGGGTGGGGGGGAATGTCATAATAATCTCTGAGTTGGAATAATTCACCCATAATATCAGAGCATCTCAAAACTAAGACTTTCTCTCCCTCCCCTCTCCGCACTCCCCTCTAACGCGCTCTCCCCTCCCCTCTCCCATTCTCCCCTTCCTTCTCACTCTGCCTCGCTCTCTCACACGCTCTCTCTCACACACTCTCTCTCTCTCGCTCCCTCCCTCGTGACGGTTGGCAGGGTCGTCCGCCGAGCGCGAAAAACCATCTGTCGCGCCCACCTACAGAATAACAGTCACTACACTTCACGGCGAATCCTGCGAGGCGCTTCGAGACGCCTCGACGACGTGATAAAGGTGCCCGGCTCCATCAAGGTTTATCATCGTTCCTCAGACACGCGTGGCGCGGCCTCACCTGGACATGTTGTCGGGGGAACACGCCGAGTTGCCCGTGGAGATGCTGGTCTCCATGCTGTCCGAGCTCTCCAGGCTCAGCGTGTCGAAGGCGTGTTCCATGTCGCCGGCGTGTTGGGAGGGCGGGGGGTGGTGGTGGAGGATGCTGTGGTGGATGAGCTCCGGTGGGTGTGGGTGGAGGGCCTCCCACTGCGATTGTGCCTCCAGCGCCGCCTTCTGCTTCAGATCCGCCAATCGTCGCCTTTGCTCCTCAATCACCTGGTGTCCTGTGGGTGGGAGTGGGTCGGGGCAGGGGGTGGCACAGGGGGGGGTGGGGCAGGGGGTGGCACAGGGGGGGTGGGGTAGGGGGTGGCACAGGGGGTGGGGCAGGGGGTGGCACAGGGAGGGTGGGGCAGGGGGTGGCACGGGGGGCGCGGGACAAACGAGCACATTTACATAATTGGGTTGAGCTGCAAGTCAACAATGGCCGAGTGACTGACTGACCGACTCCGGCAAAATACCGCAGACGCCGGAAATCTGAAATGAACCCCAGACGCCGCTGGGAACACGCAGCAGGTCAGGCAGCATCTATGGAGAGAGGGAAGGTCATCCATCTGAAACGTTAACACGTTTCCCTCTCTCCATAGATGCTGCCTGACCTGCTGCGTGTTCCCAGCGGCGTCTGTTTTTGTTATGACCGACTGAGGGATCGACCAACAAACCGGGACCACCGATGTTCGTCTCTGCCCCCTCCCCTCCCCTCCCCCCGGATGCCAGGCTGATGCCCACCCAACCCCACCCACCCTCTCTGTACCTTTCTGCTGCAGAGCCAGCTGCCGTTTGGCTTCGATGTCCTGCAGTGTGGCCGCCAGTTTCCGTGGCAAACTCCCCGTGCCGTTCTGTGCCAGCGCCGAGCCCTGCGGCGAGAGAGGGAGTGAGGGAGTGAGCGAGTGAAGAGTGTGACAGAGGGAGTGAGTTAGTGGGAGTGAGAATGTGAGAGAGTGAGGGAGGGAGAAGAGAGGGAATAAGTGAGTTAAAGTGTGAGAGAGGGGGAGAGAGTGAGGGAGAGAGGGAGAGTGTGCAAGAGGGAGAGAGAGAGGGAGTGAGTGAGTGAGTGAGGAGGTGAGTGAGGAGGTGTGAGTGAGGAGGTGAGTGAGGAGGTGAGTGAGGAGGTGAGTGAGGAAGTGAGAGTCTCAGAGACAGGGAGTGAGAGAGTGAAAGTGTGAGAGAGGGAGTGAGTGAAAGTGTGAGAGAGGGAGTGAGTGAGAGAGAGAGAGGGAGGAAGTGAGAGTGTGGGAGAGCAGCCACAACCTTGTCAGAGAGAGGTCACGACAAACTCATCCCTCCCTCTACCCGTTTATTTATTATCCCCCCACCCCACGGCCCCAGTGTGAGTTTGCGGTGAGAGAATTGGGGGGGATTCGGTCTCCATCCTGGCTCTGGTCACCTCTGAGCTGAATGTATGGACGTCAGCAATTGTGCATCACAACATTAACCCTCCCTTCCCTCCCCTTCCGTCATCTTCCCCCCCCCCGCCCCCTCCCCACCTATGGTCACCAACCCCCTCTCTCCGGCTCGGTCTCGTGCTCTGGTACTGTCAAGCGCTCTGGGAGGCCGCCGTTGTCGTCAGGTTGAGGAACGGGTGGGTCCCAGTACAATTCCGGTTGCCCACAAAATACACAGTCACTCCAGTCAGTGTGTCGTGTGAAGCGCTTTGAGACGCCTCAACGACGTGATCAAATTACCTTGGCTGCCGCGTTGCGTCCGAGCGTGGAAGCAGTGAATGGGGACGAGGGAGCAGATCCAGTCTTCGTTCGAGGCAGAGTCCCACACCCCTCGCTCTCCAGTTTGGATCGGTAAACCTGGCCGGGGGGGGGGGGGGGGAAGAGAGAGTCAACAATCAAGCTATGATACATGACCCCCCGCAAAGGTGCAAAGTTGTGTCCCGTCCTGTTCTGTGTCCCTGAGCGTTAAACCTATTCAGAATCAAAACACTAATCGATCGGATTGATCTGGAACCACCCAAACATGAAGGGCTTTCCTTCTGTAGACGAAAGAGGCGAGGCGGACATTTTTGTAAAACAACAACAATAAATGACATTTGTATAGCACCTCTCACCAGTTGAGTTTGCAATGAGTTGGGGTTGAGTTGAATTGGGGTTAAGGTTCAGTTGGGTTGAATTGGGAGTCTGGAACAAGGCATAACAAGGTGTCACGTAAAGGATCGTGGGGTGAAAATCCCCCAAACTGGAGCCTATCTCTCTCCACCCACCCTCCACTGACCTCTACGGCCAAAAACAAGACACCAACATTTCTCTAACTGAACCCAGACCTTAAGCAAAATAATTGACACAGGTTGAGGATGGTTCAGGCTGGACAGCGGGTGGGGTGGGTTTGGGGTGTGAAGCAGGGGTGACTTTTACCTGTGAAGCCCTTCGTGTGGAGTGTGCTTTAGCTGGGAGAGGAGGAGGTGAAGAGGACGAGGCCTCAAAGCTAGCCATGATTTCCTGGTACCATCGCTCTAGCTCCTGTGTCGAGGTCAGTGTCCTATTGGACGGCGATGGCTGGTCACAGGCACGAAACGGGGAAAGGGAGGGAGAGGAAGAGAGAGAGAGAGAACACAACACCAATGGGATGGAGAGGAGTGAAAGAGACAGACAGACGGACGGAGGGAGACAGGGAGAGAGAGAAAAACCCATGCGCAAGGAGGGGGAGGGAAGCCAGAACAGAACAGAAGAGAAAAAAAAATATTATTCAAGGAAAAAGTGAATAAAAAAGATAATGTAAGTCAATGAATGTAAGTAAGAAAACTAACGTGTGACCCGAGTCTGGCTACAGACACCAGAATTTCAGAGACGGTGGAAGCAGAAAATGTCGATTCTTTCAAGAACAAATGAGATAGATTTCTGTTTCGAAATAATATCTGGGGATGCAATATATAGTTTGGGACACGACATGTCAGGCGACAGCCAGGATGGTGGGAAGGTGAACTGGATGGACCTTCGTCTAGCAAATTCTTACGTTCTTTTCCGGGACCGTGAGATAGATCTCTCGATTATTCAGTCACTGCATCAAGGTTTCTGTCAGTCAATGCTTTCAGACGCTCTCGCTCGCTCTGCCAACATTGCTGATCCGTTGTCTCCTCTCATGCTCTGGGACTTTTGCCACTCGCGAAATTCGGAGGTTTGCACCCCTTTCGTTTGGGCATTTTGAAACGTCGCAAATTTCATTCCATTTCACTCCCACATATTGCACCAGGTTGACAGTTTTTTTTTGTCTCTCTGAATAAAGTTCATCAATTTTATATAAAAATCCCAATTTATACCAAAGGACAAATCCGCTCGCTCGCTAACTCATTCCCCCACGAGAGCTCTCTGTTGTAATCCCATTCCCTGCTCTCTCCCATCATGTCTTTGATAGGGAGAGTACAGGGAACCCAAACCGGGACATCTCTAAACCTTGCCATTTTACTGTTAAAGTAAAATAAATTATGTAAAATTGGAGGATATATTTAGTTGGAAGGTCAGAGTATTTGAATTTGAAGTTGATGTTTACTGTGTAATAAGAAGGCAAGTGTTACAGTCAAGGCAAGCAATAGACAGGAGCTCTGTTCAACACTCACGTTAGCTCCCAGAGAATTCCTCCACACATCCCAAATTCAACCCAACCTCAACTGAATTTAACCCCAACTCCATCCCCAACCTAATTCAACTCAATCCCCAACCCAACTGCAATCCAACTCAACCCAACTCCAATTGAACCCCAACCCAACTCGACCCCAACACTGCAAATCTAAATGAATCCATCCTGAAAGCATCCCAATCTAACGCAACTCAACCCATCCAATACCACGTAGCTAAACTCAATCCAACCCCAATCCCAACGCAAACCCAATGGGTCAGTTTAACGGCAGTTGTTGGAGAAATGTCTCTTTGCTGGAGGGAGTTAATCAGAGTTGAAGGGGAGTTTTTGATCAGAGCTCCCAGATTCGGAAGAATCCTCGCACCACCTCGGTGCCAAGCTGTGAAGAGGAGGAAGGCTGGACGGCCAGGAAGCTCGGAGCGGGGAGAGACAGAGAGGCCGGGACCGGTCCCGGGGAAGCAGCGCAGATTCCCAACGAACTGCCATACATCTCCCTAAGCTGTCCCACCGTCACATACTCCTGGGCACAGCAAGCGGGAGACGGAGGGTGGTGAGAGAGAGGGTGGGGCAGCACGTGGGGGAAGGGGAAGAGCGGAAGGAAAAAGGTTGTTAGTAAAGTCAAAAGCTGAGAGAAAAGTTTCTGGAAACAGAAGTGTGAGGTTACACATCACTTCACCAGATAAGGAATAGATAGAAAAGAAGCCACAAGTCTCCTATCAGGGATATAATCAGAATCTGCTTCAACTCCCACCCCCCCCCCCCCCTTCCCCCCGCAGACCCGAACTGAGCTGCTCACTGAGCCTGAGGGAAAATCCCGCAGAGGCTAAAAGAGAAACCGATAATATTCCAGTGGCGACACCACAGTGAACGAAGGTCAATCAATACCCCACTATAGGCACGTCATGCACGGCAACATCTCAGGCGTTCACACACCCAGCTAACGGTACGTATAAAGCTACCAGCAAACAGGGCGGCCCGTGAGGGGGTGTGAGCGTGAGGTGGGGGGGCATGGAGTGACAGGCTGGCAGGGAGAGAGGGGGGAGAGCGTGGGGTGGGCGTAGTGACAGGCTGGCGGGGCGAGAGCGTGGGGTGGGCGTAGTGACAGGCTGGCGGGGCGAGAGCATGGGGTGGGGGGCACGGAGCCACAGGCTGGTGGGGTGAGAGGGGGAGAGCATGGGGTGGGTGTAGTGACAGGCTGACCGGGGCGAGAGGGGGGAGAATCACAGGGGCGGAGCATGAGAGCCACAGGCATGTTCTCAGATGCGTTGTCAGGCAGTGAGAGCAGGGAATGTGGCATGACTGAGGCGTGTGTGTGCATGAGCGTGTGTACCTCATTGGCAGGTGGGGGAGGCGGCACAGCAAGCGGGGGGGGTGGCAGTGCGGAGCTGTATATGTCGCTGTAGAACTTATAGACGTCAGCCAGCTTCATATACTCCTGCAAAATGAGAGCAAGGTGGGGAGAGAGCCAGCAAGCCAGTGAGGGAGAAAGAAAGACACACACAGGGGAGCGAGAGAGAGCGAGCGAGAGAGAGGGGGACACACACACACACACACACACAGGAGAGGGTGAGACACAGAGAGAGAGACACACAATAGGATGTGATAGAGAGACAGAAGGAGAATGAGATAGAGAAAGAGACAGACAGACAGACAGACAGACAGACAGACAGACAGACAGACAGACAGACAGACAGACAGACAGACAGACAGACAGACAGACAGACAGACAGACAGACAGATAAATGCACAAAGGAACGGTGGGATAGAGATAGAAAGAGTGAGAGACAGAGAAGAAGAGTGAATGGCAGGATAGAAAGAGTAGATGTTGAGCAGTTTAGTGGGGGGCGGGGGGAGCGGAAATCG